CACACACACACACACACACACACACACACACACACGCCACACACACCACCCACCCACCCACACCACCCACCCACCTCGATGCTGCCCTTGCTGAGCTGCACAGTGGCGTCCAGGTCCAGCCCCCGCACATCGCTGGGCTCCAGCCAGCGCACCGCGCCCACGCCGCGCCGCCCCACACAGAAGTTGCACACGGCGGCCAGCGAGGCGGGGTCGCTGCGGGCCATGGCCGCCAGCTGCGGCGAGGCACATGGGGGAGGCACACAGCAGGGGGGGTGAGGCAGGGGAGGGCGGCGCGAGCAGGCGGAGCATAAAGGGAGGGAGGGAGGGGAAGGGGTTCAGCGCCACCACGCAGGCATCTAATCGCCATGTCGGGCAGAGCCGTGCCAGGCAGACGCGCATCTTGGCACTGGTGCATGTCTCATGCAGTATCCCCCGGCCCAGTCAGCAGTCCCCCCCCCCACACACACGCACACATACACACGCCCACCTGCTGCAGCGAGGGCTCTGTGTAGTAGTCGGGCTGCTTCAGGGAGGGGAGCAGGGCGGCCAGCTGGGCGTCGCTCAGCTCGCCGTCGGCGCCGCCGTGCGGCCCAAACCCATTCTCTGCACATGGGTTGGGGGCGGTGCCAGGTGTGCGGTGAGCAGGAGCAGTGGGACGAGCGCACGATCTGTGCTTCACGCGGGAGCAGCAGCCACAGCAGCAGCAAAGAGATGAGAAGGAGGAGGGCGGGCCGACCTGCCAGCAGGAAGCCGCCGTCGTCGCCGCCGCTGCTGCCCGCGCCGCCGTCTGCCCGCCTGCCCGGCGAGATGCGCAGGCCGGTGCCGGGCGTGCGCAGCGCGGGCATGCCGCCGGGCGTGCCGCCAATGGCAGGGCTGGCGCTGGTGGTGGCGGCTGCCTCTGTGGAGGGCAGGGCATCGCGCACAAACAGGCGCCGCGGGTTCTCTCGCGGCACAAAGATGCCGCCATTGGGGGTGGAGGCGCCGGCGCGGCCGTCTGCAGCCAGCGGAGCCAACCAACCAACAAATTAAGAGCAGGGATGCGGAGGCAAGCAGCGTGGGGATAGGGCAGCATGCTGGGGAGGCTAGCGGCAAGCGCGGCGTGGCGCCACGGCGGCTCTGCTCACCGCCGCCGGGCGTGCCTCCCGCCTGCGCGGTGGCCGCCGCCAAAAAGTCTGCGGGCGACTTGCTCATGCGCGTGGCGCTCATGCTGCGCCTCGGCCGCATGCGGACGCCGGAGCGAGGCGTGATGGAGCGGGGTGTGATGAGGGCGGCGGGGCGGGGAGGGCCGCCCGCCAGCAGGCCCGCGGGGCGCTGCGTCAGGCCGACCTTGTACTCGGGGGCAGGCGACACCTGAGGGAGGGAGAAGGGACGAAGGATGAGTGTTTTTGGCGCGGGGCAAGGAAATATGGGGAATGGCTGTGGGGTTGGTGGGCAAGGGGGCAAGCGGGGCATCTTGCCAGCAGCAGCAGGCGCTCGGAGCAGCAGGCACAACTGCAGGGCGGCTTCAGGGGGCCCCAGGTTAGGCTCTCGGGGAGGGAGGGGCAGCGTCGCGCACCTTTGGCGGCTCTGGCAGCACGCCATACGGGCTGGTGGCCACGCCGGGAGCCTGGACTGGCTGCGCAGGCACCAGCGCGCCTCCCATGGGCGAGGCCGCGGGCTGGGCGGGCGCAAAGCTGAAGCTGGGGGCCGCCTGGCTGGCACCAAAGAGGCTGGGGCTGGCGCCAAAGGCTGCACACGGGGGCAGGTGAGGAGCTTAGGGGTCCCGTACCCACACGTGCCGAAAAGAGGGCATGATTGGAAGGTTGGAGCCATCAGGCAGGCATGCGGTGGAGCTGGGGTATGAGGCAGCGCCAGGCGTACCTGGCGCACTGCCGCCCCCAAACAGGCTGGCACTGGAGGCGCCAAACGCCGGGGTCGGCGCCGCTCCAAAGGCGGGGGTGCTGGCAGCACCAAAGCCGAACCCGGCCGGCTTCTGCAGCGCAGGGGGTGGAGGGGAGGGGCAGGCTTGCTGCGGGGTGGGCACGGCAGGCTGAGAGCATGGCAGGCTGAGCATAAGAGGGCCGTCCGGCAGGACAGGCTGGCCCTCCTCTCAGGTACAGCAGGCCCTCCTCTGACCTGCTGCGTGCCACCAAACAGCGAGGTGCCGCCAAACGCCGGGGCGCTGCTGGCTCCAAACAGGCTGGCGCTCGAAGCGCCAAAGGCTGGGGCAGAGGCGGCACCAAAGGCCGGCGGCGTGCTGGCGGCACCAAACCCAAAGGCAGGCGCTGACGTGGCGCCAAAGGCGGGTGCCGAAGCTGCTCCAAATGCGGGCGTGCTTGCGGCACCAAATCCAAAAGCAGGCGTGCTGGCTGCCCCAAATGCAGGCGTGGGCGTTGAGCCAAAGGCAGGTGCCGATGCCGCACCAAAGCCGCCTGCAGCGCAACCAGGGCGCAAACGAGGCTGTAAGTGATCTGCATTGCCGGCCGCGCAACACTGTAGCCCCTTCCCTAGTCGGCAAAACCGTGGCTCCCTCCTGCTTGTTGCAACAGTGCAGTGGCCGTGAACCAACGCTTACCAAAGGCAGGAGCGCTGCTGGGCGCGCCAAAGGCAGGCGCGCTGGTGGCTCCAAAGGCGGGCGCGCTGGCGGCTCCAAAGGCGGGCGCGCTGGCGGCTCCAAAGGCGGGTGCTGCAGAACAAGGGGCCAGGCGGCAGTGAGACAGCGATGCAGCGTGTGCAGCACACACGGTAGCTGTCTGCAGCGTGTGGCCCACAACACACAGGTGCCAACAGCATTTGTGACATGCTCACCAGTCTGCCCAAACGGCGATGGCGATGCGGCCCCAAACGGCGACGAGCCGGCTGCGCCAAAGCCCCCAAACGCGGGGGCGCTAGCTGCTGCGCCAAAGGCAGGGGTGCTGGCTGCGCCGAATGCGCCAAAGGCAGGGGCTGCACAGCGGGGGGGCAGCCGGTGGCGCGGTCGGGGCATGAAGCCCCACCCATGCAGCAGGCACACAACAGCTGTGACTGGGACTCGACACATGCAGGCTGCGGCGTTCCCAGGTGACATCCTGACCTGATGCCGCCCCAAAGGCGGGCGCGGCGGCGCCAAACGCGGGGCTGCTGCTGGGCGCTCCAAACGGCGAGCTGGCCGTGGCGCCAAAGGTGGCGGCCCCAAAGGCGCCGCCCCCGGGCGAGGCGGCGCCGGTGTTGCCCTTGCACCCATCCTGCAGCCAGCAAGCACAGAGGCGGGGTCGGGCCCAGCCATCTTGAGCCAGCGGGATCGCGCCTCCTTTCACCGCACGTGTGTTCTTGCACACCTGCTCTCACCACCTCGCACCACACGCACACCCGCATGCGCCGATACACAGGCCACACCCGCCCACACACCTGGTAGTCCTCCCAGCGCAGCTCCTCGGCGCTCTTCCCCACATACTCTTGCATGCACGAGATGGAGTTGAAGAAGACGATCGTCTTGGCGCCGCTGCTGCCGCTGGTGTCCTGCTCCTGGGTCTTGCGGTACGCCACCTGGCGCGTGCCGCGCGCCCCGCCGCCAAACCCGGGGCCGCCAAACCCGCCTGCGGGGCGCGGCCCAGGATGCAGGCGCAGGCAGCATGCAGGGTCAGCGCCAGGCATGCAGCCAGCAGTGGTGGGCGGCGGCAGCTTGCGGCAGGGCAAGTCAGCGGGCGGAGGGGCTGAGCTGGCATGAGCTGGCAAAAGGCAGGCGCGCCCGCTGCTGGCCACACCTGCCGCCGTAGCCGCGCCGCCAAACGTCGTGCTGCCAAACGCCGTCAGCGGCTGGCCAAAGGCGGGGGTGGCGCTGGCGCCAAACGCCGGCGTGCTGGTGGCGCCAAAAGCCGGCGCCGAGGCGCCAAACCCAGGGGACCCACCAAACGCCGGCGTCGCGCCAAAGGCTGCAAGCACGGGAGTGCAGGCAGGGCAGAGCTTAGCGGTGGGGCAAAGGGTACCCTGCGAGGAGGGCTGCCAGTGCAGGCAGGCAAGCAGAACCAGATCCAATCCCCACGAGCCCAGGGGCTTGTTCAAGTCGCTCACCAGGCGCCGATGCCGCACCAAACGCGGGCGCGCTTGCTGCTCCAAATGCCGGCGCGCTGGCGGCTCCAAACGGGCTACCCGCGCTAGCGCCAAACCCGCCGAATGCAGGCTTGGCGCCAAACGCGCTGGCGGGAGCCGCGCCAAAGGCCGGCGTGCTGGCTGCTCCAAACGCAGGTGTGCTGGCGGCGCCAAAGGCCGGCGCCGGCGACGCCCCGAACGCCGGCGCGGGTGTGGCGCCGAATGCGGGGGCGCTCTGTGCACACAAGGCGGCACGGCGAACTCATGAGGTAGGGATGTGGGACCGTCTACAAGATGTCCCTACAGTGTATCAAGCAAGCAGGACTCTCCACACGGCGGTGTTGCTGCCCACCTGCCCAAACACGCCCGTCGTGGTGGTGGCGCCGAAGGGGGATGTGCTCTGCCCAAAGGCCGGCGCCGGTTGCTGGCCGAAAGGCGAGGGCGATGTGGTCCCAAAGGGGCTGGAGCCAGCCCCAAAGCCTGCACACAGGAGGATGAGGCCGCCAGACTTGGGTGACGGCAGCGGCGCGGCCAGCCTCCAATCGATCCGAAGCATCCAGCCGTCCCGCTCCTGATCGGCCCAGCGCAGGCAACCCGCTGCGCACGCAGGCTGGTCCAGCAGGTGATCGCCACGCTCACCCCCGCCACCGAAGCCAAACGACATCAGATCCTCCCAGACAATGAATGAACGCCGCTGGAGCTAGCAGAAGTCAAGGGCAGGTTCCCCAGACAAAACAGCGCCCCATCACCGCAACAAAATTATTGCACACCCTCCAGCCGCAGTGTGTGACACTTCAGTACAATTGCAGAAGGGCTGGGGACGGTCCAGAGCTGCATGGGCGCGCTGGACTCCTGTGTTTTCCAACGGGAGTTGTGTGCACTGAAATCCCATCAGGCCTCCCCACATTAGGCTGATCAATGTCCCTTTGAGCTGCGATTGATCCAGAGTGCCGTTTGCGACTGTCAGTACAAGCTGCAAGGCTGGTCGACAGCACAAGCCTTGCGATAGCACCCGAGTATGGCCAGCCTGCTGGCTGTGCCCTGCAGGGCCTCCGCCCTGTTCATCTCTGCGGGATCGACACAACGCAGGGGGGCGACACAACGCAGGGGGCTCAGAATTGCTTGCGCGTCGTCCCCCAAGAGCGGCAGCGGCAAAGGCGAGAGCGCCAGCGCCAAGACGAGCAGTGCTGCCGATGCCGAGGCCCCCAACCCTGGAGCAGGTCTCAAAGCTGTGTGGATGGGCGCCGAAGCATTTGGCAATGTAGTAGGTGCCTTGAAGAGCAGCAAGAAGCAGGGGCAGCTGCGGCAGCAGGAGGCCAGCAAGCTTGACGGGCCGAGCCTCGCAGAGCAGCAAGCAGGCGCAGCGCTGAAGCGGGAACAGGCGCTGGCCTTGATCCGCGAAGACTTCATCCAGAATTACTTCGTCACCGGTATGACTGCTTCATCACCGGTATATGACCTGCTGATGCCAGCTTCTAGCTTCTCTTACGCCCGGCCTGCTTGCTCCCTGCAGGCCAGGGTGCACTGGCGGCATACGACCCGGACTGCCTCTTTGCCGACCCCTTTGCCTCCTTCAACGGCACCGCCCGCTTCAAGCGCAATGTCAGCAACCTGGGCGGCCTCCTGTGAGCCCTCGCCTCCCTCATGAACCATGGTTGCCCAACACAGCCCCTCCTTGTGCGTGCACGCTGCCGCTGCTCTGGATGCCCCTCAATACCCATGCGCTTGCGGCAGGACGGACATTGACCTGACGCTCACGGACTGGCAAGAGGGGGAGGATGAGCTGCGCACCAAGTGGCGCTTCAGCGCCACGCTGAGCGGCCTGCCATGGAAGCCGCTGCTGGCTGCGGCGGGCGGCACCACCTTTGTGTTTGATCCGGCAAGTGGTTGACCCAGCATGGACTCGCCTCCGCTCCTGCCTGGCAGCACCCGGCCCCTGCCTCTGGCCCTGCCGCGGCCCTCGCCCAGGGCCTGCTAGTTTCCTTCCTTTGCGAGCACTGTTTGTGCCCGCCTGCCTATCCTGCGCTGCAGGCCACAGGGCGTGTGTGCAAGCACATCGAGTCCTGGGACATTGAGCCCGCGCGGGTTCTGCGCCAGCTGCTCAAGCCGTCTGCCAAAGTGCCGGCCACGCAGGTGGGCGAAGCCGCGGCGCATCGTCCTGCACCATGCCACCCCCCCTAGGGCTTCATGCAGTCTCCCCAGCTCCTCAAATGGATGTAGTGCTCCGCGGGCTCCTGCCATGCAGGCCGAAGTCCTGATGAGCGGCGTGTACGATGGGGACATCACAGGCATCTGGTATGCCGTCAGCTCCAAGGTGGTGGCCGTGGCCGGCCCCGCCTCGGCCCTGCTGGCGATGCTGCACCTGGCGCGCGGCGAGGGGGCGGGGTGGCTGGAGGGCGGCATGTACCTGGCCTTCCTGGCCGCCGTGGTCACAGAGCTGGGCAAGATCATCGGCAACGTGACAGGCGGCGGCGGCTGATGGGTGTCGCCAGCGGCCAGTGCGTGCGTAGCTGAGTGGCAAGGAGCAGCCATGCCCTGTGCCGATCGGCTACTGAATTCTGTTGTGCTGTATTTGTGATGATTTGTCTCCAGCTGGGCCAGACCTCTTGCGGTGCAAGCCAGGTTGTGTCCGCCCGGCGGGGGCGTGGCGCCGTGCGGGGCCCCCTGCCGTTCAGCCGGAAGTGGCCCCTAGCACTCCCCCCCCTCTGCTGCCACCTGGCTCTCTCTCTCCCACTTGTAATTTTCAGCTAGCTAGAGTACTCTAGCTGAAAATTAGGATTGGGGAGTCTTCGCTTGATTGGGAGTCTTCGCTTGGGTTCCCTGCCAGCCGGAACCGGCCAGGGGTCACAGCGCTGGGGGACCTCGCCCCTGTGTGTTTGCCGCCTCCTGCTCATGGCGATTCAACATGGCACACGTGCGTACGAGCTGGCGCTGTTGGCGCTGCTGGGTAAGTGCCCAGGCCGCGAGGAGGCATGCGCCTCCCCGCTGCTCCTTCAGTCCTGGTGTGACAGGCCTCTGGGGTCGGCACTGCAGTTCAGCAGGCTGCGATTGATCGGCCGGACAGCTGCTGGCCCTCGCCAGGACTGAGTGGTCGGCCCCACCGCCACCGCCCATCCGCTGCCGCCCTCCGCCCCGCCTCCCATGCAGCCTGCCTGGTGGCAGCCCACCAGGCAGCCGCGCAGCAGCCAAACCCAGGCCCCTACCCCTACCCGGTGCCCCGTGACGATGCCTACAATGGGCTGTGGACCACCTGCCACCAGAACCTGTTGGTGACGATGCAGGCGGCAGACGCCGCGGAGGAGGGATACCAGCTGCTGTTCCTGGGCGACAGCATCACGGAGAAGTGGCGGGGCACCTCCATCTGCCGGCCCCGCTGCACCAGCTGCGCCGGCATCCCAAAAGTGTTTGCGCGGCGCTTTGGCGTGGGGCGAGGCTGGAGGTCCTTCCCTGCGGGCATCCCAGGCGACCAGTCGGCCAACCTACTGTGGCGGCTGATGAATGGCGAGATGCCGCGGCGCAACGACCCCAAAGTGGTGGTGCTTCTCATTGGCACCAATGATCTGGCGGCAGCCTGGGATCCCGCAAACAATCAGACTGAGAGGAAAATTTTAGGGCGGTGCCAGGGACGGTGAACAGGTTAGTGCAGTCGTGTGCGACCTGCGACGTCGACCATTTTACAATGCCTGTGTACTCGTGCTCAGTGCTGGGGCCAGCATGGTGACGTCTTTCAGGATACTGCTGCCCAGTGTCAGCACCCACCACGCACAACGGACGCCAATACTGCCATGATGTATCGCCGATGGGCTCGCAGGCTGGCCTGGCTTCTGCGGCTGCTGTCAAGGCAGCTGCCGTGAGCCCACATCGTGGTGGTGGGCATACTGCCGCGCGGCCCTGGCGATGCCGCCAACCCTCCTAACTTCACCTGGCCATCAGTGTACACTCGGTCGCAGCGGCTGGTCAACAAGGCCCTGAGGTGAGGAGCATGGAGTCACCACACATGAGTTGCAGGGGCGGATATATGGATGCCGCCTGGCACTGACAGTAGCATCCACCGACACCACCCCCTGCCCTGACTGGACCCTCCTGGCACACCCCTGCCCTGCCCTGCCCGCAGAGTGATCACCTGGCTGCCTCCTAGCTGGCACTACCTGGACTGCGGCGCCCGCTTCATCGCCGCCAACCGCACCGCCATCGATGCCGCGCTGATGCCCGATGCCACGCACCCGTCTGCAACCGGCTACGAGCTGCTGGCTGACTGCCTGGACCCGCTGGTCACACAACTGATGAGGGTGAAGCGCCGGCCTGCCGGATTGTGACGCGGCATTGTACCAGGTGCATGGCAGTCGGTAGGTACACTGCAGTCGCGCGATCCCCATCCTGGTACTGCTACAGGTTTAAAGTATTTGTGCCACACATTTGCTTTCACTTCTGTGCCACCGTTTACCATATTTTTCGATGTCACTGGGTGATCCCCCGCCCAGTGTATTGTGAACCACATGCCTGGTACTTGGCACATGCAAGGTCACATGTGTGTTTTGTTGCAAGGCTCCAGGGGAAATCTGGCGCGGAGCGGCCTGCTGGCTGCTGGTGGGAACCCACACAGAACGTGAAGCAAGAAGGAGGGAGCAGAGCACGGAAGAGCAGCAAGCAACCAGGATCAGTCAGTACTTGCAAGGAATGAGGGAGCTGGGCAGACGGAAGAAGAAGGGAACGCACGAAGAGGGGCTGCCTAGTGAGTGAACACGGTACGAGAGGATTGCGGGCTGCCTAATGTACTGCTGAGTAGGAGGGGAGAGGTGGTGAGAACTGGGAATGGAGAAGAGGAAGGGATGTGTGGCAGTGAGTCAAGAGTAGGGGGGGCGAGAGAGGGATGTTGTACGAGGACAGGCAGCGCGAGGCGCCCCGATGCATTCAGCTCTTGGCCGCTTTGCTGCCATCGGGCTGCGGCTGCTTCTGCTGCTGCTGCTCGTCTGCTGCGGTGCCGTTGCCAAGTGGCGGCCGGCTGCTCTCGCCGTGCTGCTGCTGCTGTTGTTGCTGCTGCTGCTGCTGTGCCGCCAACTGCGCGCTGCGCTTGGAGCCCGCGGGCTGCTGCTCAAATGCCGAGGGGTGGATCTTGAACCCAAACACCTTGGGCACGTAGCTATCTGCAGGCAGGAAGGGCAGGGGGCAGGCAAACTGGTGTGCACCAAGTTGCAACTGTGGACGTGTGTAAACCACCAGGCCTACAACACACACGCACACACAGCATTCCTGCGGCCACCACAGGCCACGCGGCGGGAGCGTGCCTGTGGGCTTGGATGGCCTCAGCTGCGGGTAGGTGAGCTGGAAGAGGTGGGCAAAGGTGGTGCCAAAGTATGCGCCTGCAGGCGGCAACAGCGCAGGGAGGCAGCACGCATGCCGCTGATGGGTGCGCAATGGAGCAAACTGTTTTGTGCCAGCCAGCATCAGCACTCGCAGCTCTGAGCCGCTCGCACGCTGCGGCTGCAGCTGGCCACTGGGGCAGCGCGTGTGGCGCACCATCCAGGTTGCCGTGGTACTTGGAGCGCGGGTAGTACACATCCTCGCACTTTGGGCAGAACAGCTTGACGGTGGACTGGCGCGGGATGTCTGCAGGCGCGGGGCGGGCGGAGGAGCAGTAAGCGGGCTGGGTGAGCGAGTTTCATGCCTGCCTTTGAGATGTTAAGATGTTTTTTGGGGGGGGGGGCACAGAATGGCTACCAGCAGGTCAGCCTGGCTGGGAGAGTAACGACAGTGTCGCTGCCCTGCGCTGTCCGGCCGCAACGCCAGAGGCACCCCCACCCATCGCCGTGCGCACCTGACAAGCCCACGGGCAGGCATGCCTGGCCGTTGCAGTAGACGCGCGGGCAGCGCCCAAAGTCGCAGCTCTTGAACTTCTCCATCATGGCGCTCAGGCCTGCGGGGGCCGAGCGGGGCCAAGGTGTGCCGGGGCAGCGAGTCAGGGGAGGTGGGGGAGCAGAGGGCAGTTACCAGCCCCCAACTGACGGCCGGCGCCAGGGCTGACAGCAGCCCTCAACCCGTGGCGCTGCCGTGGAGGCCGCCGTGTCGCCCCGCCGCCCCCGGCTGCATGCTCCCGCGCCAGGCCAGCGCGTAGCGGCGGCGCGCACCCCTGCTGGTGAGGATGTACCGCGCATGTATGAGGCCGTACAGTATCTCCGCCGCCTCCTCCACAAACTCCTGCGCCTGCTCCGTCAGCACCTCGTTCTGCAGGCTCTCGCTGTCCAGGATCAGGTCCAGCGCATAGTCGTAGTAGGGCACCTGCATGGGGTAAAGGAGGGAGGTGAGGAGGGTAGGGGTGATGACAGGAGGGGAGACGAGGAGGGATGGGGATTAGAGGGAGGGGAGATAGAAGAGGGTGAGGCCCGTAAGCTGGAGGGCTTGCCCAAGAGGGTTGCTGGAAGCAGGAGGAGGGCGGCCCGACGTGCGACCGCATGCGGAGGGTTGCAGGCAAGCAGCACCGTGCGCCGCCCCGGTTGAGATCGCGGCGCAGCCTGTATCAGAGGTATTCTGTCCTATAGCGGCTGCTGTGCCAGGCGTGTGCGCAGTGTGCCAGGCAGGGCAAGCCACAACGTGCGGGGCGCAATTGCCCTGCCACCGCCACCGCGTCCCACCTGTGAGCTGAGGCCGCTGAGGTTGAAGTCATCTTGGATGTAGTCCTCCCCCACCTCGCAAAAGAACTCATTGCCCTTCAGGCTGCAGAACCAGGAAATCCAGGAGCCGACCTGCAGCAGGGGAGAGTGGGGACAGTGGCGGGTGGGGTGGGGCGGCAGCGGCGCAGACTGGCGCGCCGCGAGGCCTTGGCCAAGGGTTGCGACCCAGCTGGCGGCCTGGCGGTCCGCCATAGCTACTGCACGCGTCCTGACGGCCCATCACCCCTCACCTCCTCCTCGCTGCCTTCCTGGTCGCCGCTCTCCTCGCTGCCGCTGTCGCTTAGCAACTCCGCCTTGTCCTCGCTCATGGCTGAGCCGTCGTGGTGGCTTGCCATGTGCGTGGGAGCAGGAATGGAGGGGGACTGGCAGCAGCGGCACAAGCAGCAGGGGCAGAAGTGGGCCACTGGCTGCAGGCTGTGCCTGCCCAGACACGAAAAGGGGTCAAGGCCGCTGAGGCTGCTGCATGGGGACTGCTGCTTTGCAGGCCGCACGAGGGCAGCGCCGCACGCAGCAGGGCAGGGCTTCGTATGCCTGCGCATCGCTCCTCAGTTTCATCTGTGTCATTTCTGCTGCCCCTCCCCACGCCCCGCCGCTGATCGCCCCCTCCTGGCCAGCCATCTCACGCCCCCCGCTGCCGCCGCCAGTCCCCAGACGTGAACAACTGTTGGATTGGCGAGTCCCGCCTGTCATAAGGGGCAATAAGCGCTTGGCAGAATGACGATGGCTGCGGCAGGTCTGCAGGCTGCCCCTGGGTGCTGGGCGGCGCTGTAACATGCCCTGATGGACGCGTCAGACGGTCGTGGGGTGCCGGCTGCAAAGCACAGGGGGTTCGACCAGCCCACATGCTCAGAGCCGTTCCCAGCTCCCACACCCTACTGCAGGCTCCCTCAAGGGAGTGGGAGTTCCCATCAAGTTGCTACACGAGGCCACGGGGCACGTGTGCACGGTGAGCAGGCAGCGGCGGCGGTGCGGCCTGCGCTCCCGCCGAGGCCGGCCTCTGTCCCTGCACAGCGAGTTGGGCGCCTCAGTCGCCTCATCGTCCTCTGCAGGTGGAGCTGAAGAGCGGCGAGATCTACCGGGGCGAGATGTATGAGGCGGAGGACAACTGGAATGTGCAGCTGTCAAACGTGCAGGCCACGGGGCGCGATGGCAAGGTGCGGAGCAGCCGACAGGCAGCGGGGCCAGGCAGGCAGTGGGAGCGGGAGCATGAGCGGCAGCAGTAGCAGCAGATGCATGGCTTTGAATTGAAAAGAGGGGGAGGAGGAGCAGCAGGAGGAGCAGCAGAGGCATCTGGAAGGGCACCGCACGGCAGTCGCATCGATGCGCCGGGCTCGGCTATCCGTCACTCTCGACCGCGCTGCCCTGGCCGTGGCCCACCCTGTGCGCTCGCAGGTGACCCACATGGAGCACATCTTCATTCGCGGCGGCCGAGTGCGCTTCGTCATAGTGCCAGACATGCTCAAGAATGCGCCCATGGTGGGTGGTGTGGCATCGCTGGCGCCGCCTCAACCACCGCTGCCCTGTCATGTGCGGCGCCGCCGCCCCTTGTCCGGGCTCCACCTGCTGACTGTGTACTCTCCCCGACCCCGCTCCTCCTGCCCTCAGTTCAAGCGGATCGACCCCAAGAACAAGATGAAGTCTGCGGTACTGGGGGTGGGCGGGCGCGGGCGCGCGGTGGCCGACCGGGCAAACCGCAATGTCGGCCGCATTTGAGCACAGGGGCGGCTCCCACACCCCCACCTCCCCCACTCTGCCCTCTGTGTTGCTTCCTCTCTGCCTCTACTTCCGCCGCCACATGTAATGACGTTCTGACGCTCTGTGACAGGGCAGGGCCGCGTGCACGCCTCGCTCCACGGGCCGCCTCATGCCATCCCCAGGCTGCCAGTCACGATGTCGGACCGCACCGGCGCGCCGCCGCAGCTGCGCGCCGCCTGCGCCTGCTCCTCGCCCGGCAGGAGCTGCGTGCATGCCCTCCAGTTCTGAGGTGCAGGTTGTGTGCGCCCCTCCCACCCGCCTGCATCCGGTGGGGGAGGGCTGTGCCGTGGGAGGCGCTGTGCGGCAAGCGGGCAATGCTCCCCACATGCATGCTGCAGACGGTGCTCTCCCCCTGAGTGTGTTGGGTGTATATGGGTGTGGATGTGCATGGGTGTGGGCAGGGCCGGTCACGCACCTCCCGCAGCGTGCCGCACGGGTCGTCCCCCAGCGTGGCGTGGTAGCTGGGGAACGCCAGCTCCCACCACCAGCGTGCGGGACTGCCGCAACCACCGCCGCCGCTGCTGCTGCTGTCTGCCTGCCGGTCCCGCGCCCCGGCCTTGAGCAGGCGCATGGCCTCAACCATGCTGGGGTTGGTGCTGGTGAGGATGGCGGCGCCCTGGCCTGCCGCCAGGCTGACCCTGGTGATGTCCTGCAGGCAGGCAGGCCAGCGCTGAGGGTGCCGGCACAGTGGGGTGCATGCCCACGCACAGGGAGAACCCGGCGGGCGGGCGGGAGCTGCGCGTGCAGATGCTGTGGCTGCCGAGGCGCCAGCCAGCGCCTTGCCTGCACGATGCGGTCGGCATGCGCCTGGCTCAGGTAGTACAGGACCTGCAGGAGGCAGGCACAACCAACCAGGCATGAGGGAAGCCTTTGCGCTGCTGCTGCCGGCAGCTCCCTCGGCACGGCTGCGGCACCGGCGGCGCAGGCCCACTCACCCCCTCCACCACCCAGACGGTGGGGACCACAAGCTGCCAGCCATGCGCCTGCAGATCCTCCATCCACCCAGGCTGCGTCAGGTCGGCAGCCAACGCCACCCAGGAGCCCACGCGCAGAGGGAAGGCGTGCGCCGCGGCCGACCCGTCGTCGCCGGCAGCGGGCATGTCGAGCGGGCCTGCAGCAGCCGGCGCCAGGCGCATCCAGAGGCTCCGCCGCCAGCAAAACACATGCCAGAGCTCCTGCAATCTGCCCCCTGAAACAAAGCCGCCCCCGTCAAGCAGCGCAGCGCCCTGGCTGCCCTCCCGCTGCCGCCGCACCTTGCGCCTGCCAGGCGGCCTGCATGCCCGCGCGCTCCATGCAGCGCCACTTGAATGCCGCCATGCCTGGCAGGTCCAGCTCGAACCAGTGGATGTCGTGGCCCAGCACCAGGCTCCACGGCCGCGTGTCCAGCCCCGAGCCTGCACCCCTTGTGGGGGCCGGAAGCAAGAGCTGGGGCCAGGCGGCGGCCACGGCATGGCTGGTGTTCCATAGGCGTTGGGTGCCATGCATGCAGAGGATGCCTCTCACCCAGCAGCACCACTTGGATGCAAGGCTGCCCGCCGCTGTCGGCTGCGCGTGCCGCCAGGCGCCGACGGCGCAGCCCATGGATGGCCGCCACGATTTCGTCGTCGATGTAGCGGCACCGCAGCGCCAGCGTGACCATGGCCTGTGCCACAAGCGAGGGAGAGAACCTTGGGAGACAGGAAGCCTGACGCATCGACCACCGGCACCGCGGACGCATACCTGCACATCGGCGACGGCGTCTGCCTCCTCGCCTCCCGCTGGCGCCCCCCGCCCCTCCTTGATACGGGCGCTGCGCTGCTGCTCCAGCTCCTCCCAGGCTCGCACCTGCAGCGCAGGCGGAGAGGAGAGATGCGGCCCATGCAAGTGATGGCGCGAGGGTGGCATCCAGCCCTCTGGAAGTGGACCCGTCACTGCTGGGCCCCTGGGCTGACCTGTGGCGATGCCAGGACTGATGCCGGCACCATGGCGGAAGTGACCGGGTCGGGCAGCAGCGGGAGCAGGCGCGACGCCTCTAGCGCGCGCTTGCTGGCCACCCACAGCACTGTGTTCTCCACCAAGCCTTCCTGAGGGGCCTCAGGGGCAGCGCCGCTGCAGCTGCAGCACAGCATGAGCCGTCAGCTGAGCACCAGGGCGCGAACAGGCGACAGCAGGCGGGGGCGATGGCGGGAGCGGCGAGGTGGGCGGCGCGCCAAGAGCGGGCCATCTGGGGCTGGCTCCAGCACCCTATTGATGTGTCTGAAATGGGCTACTGGCGGGCAAAGCTACAAACGCAAAGGCCGCACCTCCCATCATGCGCCATGTCAGCCTGCCCGGCTAGAAACGCTAACGAGCTCAGGATGAAGACTGGAAAGGACCAGCAGACGGCCAGGATTGAGTACCTGCGCAAAGCCTGCGCGCAGACAAGGGTAGTGCCTATGGCGGCGCACGGTACATGCAACCGCCCCGTGCTTGCCTCCACTCTCAGCATGTCTTCTGGCTCTGCAGACCATTGCCATCCAACTGCCTGTGCATGCAGACTACCTTGCCATTCAAATGCTTCACAACCAAGGCAACGGTACTGCCGATGCATCGCAACAAAAGGAGACGGCCGGCGGCGGCCGCCTCAGTCCTCCGCCTCGGCATCAGCCACGTCAGCGCCGGCGATCCACTGCCACAGCGAGTAGCCGCGCCGCCTGCCTTTCTTCACGGATGGCCCAGAGGCGCTGGCACCAGGTGCCGCGGCCACCATGGCCTGCTGCTGCGGCGCGTTCACCAGCTGCGCTTCCAGCTGCACGTTCCTGCTGCGCTGCTTGTCCACCTCCAGCTGCAGCTTCTCAACCTGCGGGCCGGGGGAGTGAGGGGCCAGGAGGCAGCATGTGGCAGACAGGGAAGGCAGGGCATGAGAAAACAGAGGGGACAAGGCGCAGCACGCTGCTGCGGCAATACAGAGGCGGCCTGCGCAACAGGAGCGGCATGGCCAGCCTGCTGCTGTGGGTGCGGCCTCAGCGTGGGCCGGCCTCACCTCCTCCGCCAGCGCCAGCAGCTGCAGCTGCTGCTCCGACAGCATCACGCCGCCGGGCAGCTCCCACACCGCGCCGCCGCCTCCCGCGCTGCCGGGGGTGGGCGGCGTGGCCGCGGCCGCCGCCGCCGCCGCGCCCGCCGAGTCGGGGCGGGGCGAGAGCGAGGAGGAGGGTCCGGAGGGGGAGGGCAGCGCGGCGGCCGCCGCCACCGTGGCGGACGCATCCGACAGCTGCGCCTGCAAGCTGCCCAGGCCTCCCGACAGCTGGCGCATGGGCGAGGCTGGGGGCAGGTAGCCCACCGCCGCCGCCGCATACGCCTCGGCCGCCGCCGCGTCGGCGTCAGCGGCCTGCGCAAACTGCGCGGCGGCGGCCATGGCGGAGCGCAGCCCCGTCAGCTCCAGCGCCTGGCGGTTCAGGTGGTCTGTGAGCGCGTCGTTCTCAGTCACCAGCCTCTCCATCATGCGCTGGCAGGCCTGCAGGGGGCACGCGGCAAGGGGCAGGGCATTGAGCGCGCTTGCGTGGTGATACACACACATACGGAAACGGGGCTGGCGCGCCGCTGACCAGCCAAGGCGGCAGGCCCAGGGGACGAGGCATACGCGGTCGAGGCGGGGTGGCAGGCAGGGTGGAAGACATCAGGGCAGTCTGGCCGCAGTCTGGCCGGCAGGCGTGGTGCTGCCGGCCCCAACAACCCACGTCGGCGTGCGCCTGGGCATCCAGTGCCACAGCCTCCGCCGTCGCCGCCCGCTCCTCCGCCACCCGCGCGGCCAGCACGAGCTGCTGGTCGGGCGCCTGCTGGCGGGGCGACGCGGCGGCGGCTCCAGCCGCGGCAGCGGCCGCCGCCTGGCTCTGGGCCGCCTCCTGCTGCACCCTCGCCAGCTGGCGCTCCAGGTCCTCGCACCTGCAGGGCGCAGGCGGCGGGCGCAGCAGGAACGGCGCAGCAGGAACTGAGCAGCAGCGTAGACTCCTACCCAGCCAGCCCTCAGTGGGCGGCAGCGCACGGCGAGGCTGCCAGCGCCTCCATAAGATTTCGGCACGCGGGGCGCGGGCAGCGGGCCCCTGCCTGTGCCGCAGCTCCAGCGCCGCCTCGTGAGCCTGCCGCCCCTCGGCGGCCGCCTGCGCGTTGTCGCGCAGCTGGCGCTCGAGGGCCTGCCACCAATGGAGCAGAAGGGGAGCGGGCACGGGTCAGCAGGCAAGCTCACCCTGGTGGCGATGAGCCACATACCTGTGGCGCAGCCGGCACGCTGCTCCACACAGCCAGCAGCAGCACCAGCAGCGGCTCCAGCAGAGTGGCAAGGTCGGGGGGGGCGAAAGCGTGCGCAGCAGGCCTCCGGCTGGGCACCCACCCCACCCCACCTGCGCCGCCCGCCGCTCCTTCTCCACCGCCCGCTCCGCCTTGTCCAGCCGGTGGCGCAGCGCGGCGGCGTCGTCGCCCCGTCCGCTGGCGGCGGGCCTGCGGCGGCAGCAACGGGCGCAGTCGGCTGGGTCAGCTGCCGCCGGGCGGCCTCAGCGTGCCCGCTGGACCCAGGCCCAGGCACTGCTTCCACGGGGGCCACGCAGCCACACATCACAACGACCGCAGTCCATGCAAGCGCGCAGGCTGGGTGGCGCGCCTGGCGGCCGCGGGGGAGGCGAGCAGCTGGTCCAGATGCTCCTCCAGCCGCCGCACCTCCGCCTGCGCGGTGGCGGCGTCGTGCATGGCTGCACGCCAGGCGGCAGCGGGGCACGCAATCAGCGGCCAGGCAGGCAACAGCCCGGGGCGTTGCGGCGGGAAGCAGCGCGGGCAACAGGCTGCAGCCTGGGGGCGTGCCGCCATGCGGGGGCGCACCAGAGGCCAGATCGTTGCGAGCGGTGGTGACGTCAGCCTCCAGCTGCTGCCGCTCCGCCGCAAACCGCTGTTCCGCCGCCGCCGCCGCCGCCCGCAGGCCCTCGCCTTGCCGCTGCGCCTCCGCCAGCGCCGCGGCGGCCGCCGCGCCCACCCCCTCCTGCTGCGCCGCCCGCAGCGCCGCCTCAGCCTGCGCGGAGGCGGCCTCGGCGGCCGCCTGCTGCGCCTCCTCCAGCTGCTGCCGCAGGCCGCGCACCTCGGCAGCCTGCAGCTCCGCCTGGGAGTCCGCCGCCTGCAGGGCCGCCAGCCTGGCCTCCAGCTCAGCACGCACCGCCTCGGCCGCCGCCGTCCGCTGCTCCGCCGCCCTGGCCGCCGCGTCGGCCTGCTGCTGCGCGAGCGCCACCTCAGCCAGGCTCTCCCGCATGCTCTCCACATCCTCGGCCGCCGTCAGCGCCGCCTCCCTGGCCGCCGCCGCCTCCTCCTGCGCCGCCTGCAGCTGCCCGCGCAGCTGCGCTAGCTCGGCGGCAGACGCCTCCGCGCCGGCGCCTGCCGCGGCCGCGCCCTGGTGCCGCGCCAGCGCCGCCGCCTTGTCCAGCCGGTGGCGCAGCGCGGCGGCGTCGTCGCCCCGTCCGCTGGCGGCGGGCCTGCGGCGGCAGCAACGGGCGCAGTCGGCTGGGTCAGCTGCCGCCGGGCGGCCTCAGCGTGCCCGCTGGACCCAGGCCCAGGCACTGCTTCCACGGGGGCCACGCAGCCACACATCACAACGACCGCAGTCCATGCAAGCGCGCAGGCTGGGTGGCGCGCCTGGCGGCCGCGGGGGAGGCGAGCAGCTGGTCCAGATGCTCCTCCAGCCGCCGCACCTCCGCCTGCGCGGTGGCGGCGTCGTGCATGGCTGCACGCCAGGCGGCAGCGGGGCACGCAATCAGCGGCCAGGCAGGCAACAGCCCGGGGCGTTGCGGCGGGAAGCAGCGCGGGCAACAGGCTGCAGCCTGGGGGCGTGCCGCCATGCGGGGGCGCACCAGAGGCCAGATCGTTGCGAGCGGTGGTGACGTCAGCCTCCAGCTGCTGCCGCTCCGCCGCAAACCGCTGTTCCGCCGCCGCCGCCGCCGCCCGCAGGCCCTCGCCTTGCCGCTGCGCCTCCGCCAGCGCCGCGGCGGCCGCCGCGCCCACCCCCTCCTGCTGCGCCGCCCGCAGCGCCGCCTCAGCCTGCGCGGAGGCGGCCTCGGCGGCCGCCTGCTGCGCCTCCTCCAGCTGCTGCCGCAGGCCGCGCACCTCGGCAGCCTGCAGCTCCGCCTGGGAGTCCGCCGCCTGCAGGGCCGCCAGCCTGGCCTCCAGCTCAGCACGCACCGCCTCGGCCGCCGCCGTCCGCTGCTCCGCCGCCCTGGCCGCCGCGTCGGCCTGCTGCTGCGCGAGCGCCACCTCAGCCAGGCTCTCCCGCATGCTCTCCACATCCTCGGCCGCCGTCAGCGCCGCCTCCCTGGCCGCCGCCGCCTCCTCCTGCGCCGCCTGCAGCTGCCCGCGCAGCTGCGCTAGCTCGGCGGCAGACGCCTCCGCGCCGGCGCCTGCCGCGGCCGCGCCCTGGTGCCGCGCCAGCGCCGCCGCCTGCTCAGCCTCCTGCAGCTGCTGGCGCAAGGCGGCCGCCTGCTCCTGCTGCGACAGCGCTGCCTGCCGGGCGGCCTCCAGCTGCTGCCGCAAAGCAGCGGCCTCCTCCTGCTGCGCCCACGCGCCCTGCTGCGCGTCCTGCACCTGCTGCTGAAGGGAAGCCACCTGCGCCTCCAGCGCGCCAACCTGCTGCTGCTCCGCCGCCGCCGCCTGCTCTTCCGCTGCGCCCTGCTGCTGGTGGCCGGCCGCGGCCGCTGCGGCCGCTGCCGTGGCCGCCGCCGCCTCCCCCCTTGCCGCCTCCAAGAGCGCCTCCAGCTGCCGCCGCTGCTCGGCAGACTGCAGGGCGGAGGTTGCCGCCGCCTCGCGAGCCTCGGCGGCCTCCGCCTCTGCAGCAGCCAGCTTGGCTGCCACCTGGCTGGCCGCCCCCTGCTGCTGCTGGGAGGCCGCCGCCAGCTGCATGCCCAGCTGTGCCACCGCCGCCCGCAGGCCCTCCGCTTCTGTTCGGGCGGCTGCCAGCGCCTCCTCGGCACCGGCAGCAGAGGCGGGGCTGGCGGCGCCGCCGCCTGCACACGCCGCCTCCGCCTCTGCCACCTGCTGCCGCAGCAGGGACACCTGCCGGGCGTGCGCCGCCTCCTGCTCCTGCACCTGCCGCTGCGCCTCGGCCAGCTGCTGCTGTACGGCGGCGGCCTCCTGCTGCAGCCGCTGCTCGCAAGTCGAGGCGGCGCCCTGCTGCCGCTCCAGCTCTAAAGCCTCCTCGCGGGCGGCCGCCGCCTCCTGCTGCGCCGCCTGCAGCTGCTGCTGCAGCGAGCGCGCCTCTGCCGCGGCAGCCCGCTGCGCCTCGGCCTGCTGCTGCAGAGCCGCCAGCTCGCCGCGAGCCGCCTCCAGCTGCTGCGCGGCCTGGGCGGCAGCAGCCTCCTGGTGCAGCAGCGCACCCCGCAGCTCTGCCACCTCCACTTGCGCCGCAGCCAGCTGCGCGCTCAGCTGCGCATCGCCTGCGGCCACAGCCTGCTGCGCCTGCTGCTGCAGCTCCCGGCGCAGCTCCGCCGCCTCCGCCTGCGCCGCCGCCAGCTGGCGCGCCGCCTCGGCCGCAGCCTGCTGCGCCTGCTCCTGGGAGGCCGCCGCCACGCGCAGCGACATAGCCTCCCCCAGCAGCTCTGCAGCAAGGCAGGCGCACGGAAGGGGCAGCCCTGGGAGGCAGGCCTGGCTTGCAGGTGGCCATGGCAACAACCAGCCCTTGGCGGGTGCCCCGGAGCAAGCGCACACCAGCAGCGGCGCACTTGCCTGCCTTCTCCCGCTGCAGGGCCTGCCGCTCTGCGTCCACCGCCTCGAGTCCCTCCTGCAGCCGCCGCCGCTCGCCCTCCGCCCGCTCGACAGACGCCGCCAGCTGCGACTCGCGCTGCTGCGCAGCAGCCAGCTGCGCCTGCAGCGGGGCGGTGGCTTCCGCCACGGCTGCCGCCACGGCCCCGGCCAAATCCTGTGCGGGTGGTGCGTGAGGCTTGGGGTCGGCGGAGGGTGCAGCTGCTGCGCCTGAGATCATGCCAGAAGCTGGAATGGGCACGGTTGCTGCGGGCGCTTTGGCAGGGCTCCCCGGGAAAGATGGAGGCCCGGTGCCAAACATGGGAGCCTGGGCGGCAGGCGCCCACTGCTGCGCAGGTGCCTGCTGCCGGTGCTGCTGCGCCGGCGGCGGTACCGCCTGCGGCACTGGGTGTGGCTGCGGGCACGGTGCCGCCACTGGCGCTGGGGCTGCTGCTGCCTTCTTGCTGGCCAGAGCCGCCTGCTTCTTGCGCTTGAATTCTTCTAGCTGCGGCATAAAGGTGTGGGGGGATTGGCCGAGGAACCTAGGCGACGCAGCAGAGGGTGTTGCAGCTACTGGGGCACTCATCACAGTGCTATCTTCGCTTGCTCGCGTCAGTCAGCTCTGTCGATCCTGTGCTGCCCCAAAAAGCCGCCACCTCACCTTTCGCCGCCCAGCCTCTACACTGTTGGTGGCAGCCAGAGCGCCACTGACCGGGCGTGGGAGGCCGGTGGCGCCGCTGGAGGCCGGTGGCACGTCTGCCGGTGCAGGACCACCATTAGCAGTAGGAGCTGCACATGCAAGCACACATCGGCTTGCGGTTGCAGGGAGCACAGCACCAACTGGCGGCGGTGGCAGCGGCGGCAGCAGCAGGGCAAGAAGCTCTGCAGTCCCCTGCTGGCACCTGGGGTCCCATCGCTATCATCTCCAAACAGGAAAGCTGCAGGCTCCTCCACTGCTGCTGGCGCTTTGAATGCAAATGCGGGCGGGCCGCTAGCGACTGTAAACCCGCTCATCGCCAGCCGCCCAGGCTGCCAACGCGTGCCAAGCGTGTCTGTGGCGGCTGGGCGAGAGAACAGTGAGCACGTGCCAACTCCAAAGTGCGGTGCGCCCAACGGGGCGGGAGCTGCGTGCAGCGTTCCGCAGCAACCGATGCTCCGCGTGGGAGTGCTCAACAGCCCTAACGTCCTTGCTCCCAGGTCATTCCCGCTTTCTAGCAGGACAAGGCCGTTTTCCCACTCCGATGCTTCCTCTCTCCGGCGCGGGCAATGCTGAACATAAGCCTGCACCATTCCAGCACCTTCTGGCCTCCAGAGACGGCTCGTTGCGGCAGCAAATCCTATTGTGTGCATTTCACTTCGCCTCGTTCGAGCCGCAACCAGCTGGGCAATCCGTGAATTGAGTTAGAGGTGATCTGAGCAGCAGCTGGCGAGGCGACAATGAGCGCAGCAACGGAGGAAGTGCTGGGGGCAGCGGCGGTGGCGGTGGCAGGCGATGCGTCGGGCCCAGGCCCAAGCAGCCCACCACCAGAAGTGCAGCGCACGGGCTACTTGGGCTTCGGCTCGTTCCACAGGTGAGGCACCGTGCGCTGTGAATGACCTCATTGTGCAGGTTACAACTAACTGCCCACGCGGGCTTGCCAGTGGCGCCACGGTAGCCACCTCAATGCCTCTCTGGTCCTTGTCTTCCCCTGCAGCGACAATGTGGAGCAGATGGTGGCGGACCCTGACTGGCAGCCGCCGCCCAATCCCTTCCAGCAAGACTGTGCTGCATTGGCGGGCACATCGTTTGGCGCCGCCTGCCGGCACCACTTCCTGATTGATTTCGACAGGTGCCTTGTGTTTAGGCAGGCCAGTTTGCCACCGACTGTGATTTGCCCTTAACCTGCCGCTGCTGCTGGACCGTCCACGCCTCGCAGGTGGGCATTCATCAACCATGGCGCGTTTGGCGCCGCGCTGCGCCTGGCACAGCAGGAGGCCGAGGCGTGGCGCCGGCGCTGCGAGCAGCAGCCGCTGCTCTTCCTCGACAGGGACCTCTTCTCGCAGCTGGCCCGCGTGATGCGGGAGCTGGCGGCCTTTGTGGGATGCCGGGCCCAGGACCTGGCGCTGGTGCCCAACGCAACCACAGGTCTGCTGCTGGTGTGCCGGCTTTGCTTGCAGCCTGCACCAATGCCCGCCTGGGCACTCGACTCATGGGCAGCAGAGTCGTACTGCCTGCCTGGTTCGTGCTGCCCACTTTTTGTGGCACCGTTTCCTGCTGCAGGGCTCAACTCTGTGATCCAGAGCATGCGGGGCAGGGTGGGACCAGGGGAAACGCTCTTCTCTCTAGATGTGGGCTATGGCAGCGTCAAGAAGATGCTGGCTGTGGTGGCAGAGCAGACGGGGGCACAGCACGTGCAGCACACGGTGCAGCTGCCACTCAGGTGGGTGGCGGCCAAATGCCCGCCCGCCCGGCACGGCAGATGCGCGCTTCCGCTGAACCAGCCCCGCCAAATGCTGCTGCGCCTGCCTGATGCCTGGCCTGCTGCTTGCAGCTCAGCCGAGGAGCTGGTGGCGCAGGTGGCGGCGGCCATGCCAGCTGGCACCAAACTGGCAGTGTTTGATGCGGTCACCAGCAACACCGCCATCCGCCTCCCCATCCAGCAGCTTGTGCAGCTGTGCCACAGCAGGTGGGCCGGTCGGTCCCGGGGAACTGCCACAGTGTATGCACGCCTCATCTCACTCCCTTCCATCTTTCTCCCTCGCCAAACCCTGCCAACTCCTGCTGCCTGTCGCCTGTGCGCTGCCGCAGGGGTGTGGAGGTGCTGGTTGATGGGGCGCATGCGCTGGGCATGCTGCCGCTGGACCTGCACGCGCTCGCAGCCGACTATTTTGTCACCAATTGCCATAAGTGGCTGTGCGCCCCCAGAGGCAGCGCCTTCCTGCATGTGCAGCCGCGCCACCAGGCCCACGTCCGGCCCCTCATCATCTCGCACGGTAAACAGAGCCCCTCGCTGGCCCGCCCCTCGGCCCAAGCTGTGTATTGTGCTTTGCCCCTGCCGACATCATTCTGCCCATCACGGAGGTCTGCCCCCCACCCCTGTCCCCACCTGCAGGCTATGGCAGCGGCTTTGTGTCAGAGTTCATATGGGATGGGTGCCGCGACTACGCCCCCCTGCTGGCGGTGTCGACGGCGCTGCGTGCATGGCGCCAGCTGGGCCCCGAGGCGGTGCGATCCTACCAGCGGCAGTTGCTGCACCAGGCCGTGGCGCTGTTGACGCAAGCCTGGGACACAGGTGCGGCTGCCGGTTGCACCCATCGCATCTTGCAAGCAGCCTCATTAGGCAGCAGACACCTACTGAGCAGTGCACCACCCTGCCACTCATCGTCACCTGCAGGCACACTGGTGCCGCTGGACATGTGCGGCTCAATGGCGCTGGTGCAGCTGCCAGATGCATGCCTGGCTGCCGCACAATCGGCAGCCGAGCATATCAGCACAGCGGCGGCACCAGGTGCTACCTCGGCGGACGGCAAGTGGGTGCAGGACTCTCTGCACTACCAGCACCACGTCGAGTGCCCCATCAAGTGCATCAACGGCTGCCTCTATGCCCGCATCTCTGGTGCGTGATGCGGGTGGCTTCGGCTGCCTGGCTCTCCTTGCCATGCCATGCTGGCCAGGAAAGCAGTGATGCCTCATCCCCCCTGCCGCTGCCGTGTAGTGCACATCTACAACGAGCCTGCCGACTATGAGCACCTGGCGGCCGCTGTGTGCAGCCTAGCAGCTCTGTCCAACGGACCCGCCAGTTGACTCCTCTTGCCGTTGTCAATTGAGGTGCAAGCGTGCAGACGCTGGTGGCACCCCTTCCCAGGCTTCCAAAGGCGCCGGCGCCCAGCCCCATGCCTGTTGGCAACAGCCCGAGGAATGCCGTGCTCCCCACCTCCATGCCTGTAATGCGGTGCGTCGGCTCTTGGGGAGCTGTAGCAGTGGATAGAGGCTCAGTGAGCCGCTCACTATGAGTTGGGGAGGCCACCTCAGAGCTGACTGGCCCGCGGCCTCCCGTCCCAACTCATGTGATCCCGCTCTGTGATCGATTGCACCCTGTGATCCCTGCGCAGCAGTGCCTGAGCACGCTCCAAAGCACGTCCCTGTCCTGGAACCGCGTCGCCTCACTCTCACCCTTTTGCAGCTACTCGGTACCCTGCCACACACGCCTGGTTGCGACAGAGAATAGTGATGAGGCGGCACCTGCTGTGCCTGTGCCTCATGGCCGCTTTGGCAAGCGCCCTCGCCGCAGACTGTCTCCCATCTCTGGAGCCTGAGATTGAGAAGCTGCCTCAATCGACCATCTTCTCGGAGATCATCACCTCGCTAGCGGCCCAAGGTAGGCCCGCGCCCGGAAGCCAGCAGCGGCGGTCATGCATTCCCGCGGCCGCTTTCCCTCGCGCGCCCTATGGGCCAGCTGCTGCCTGCCTGCCTGTGTGTGTCTGGACCCTGCTGCCTACACCGCTCCCCACTGCCTGCCTGCTCACCCGTGCCGCGCAGCTGTGCCGAGCGAGGAAGGCACCGCCAGGCGGCGGCTGCTGGAGGCGGCGGCAGCGGGCAACGCCCCCGCCTTCCGCGCCTGCCCCCGCATCCTCTCCCCCGTCTGCTCCACCGACGGCCAGCAGTACCCCAACGACTGCGTGGCGGCCAACAGGGGCGCCCAGGTGGCGTGCCGTGGGCCCTGCCCCTGCGGCGCCGAGGCCTCCTCTGCCGGCAACTCTGCCGGGCCGGTTGACCCTGTCATGGGCCCCTGCCCCAAGATCTACTCCCCTGTCTGCGGGCTGGACGGGCAGACGTACCCCAGCAAGTGCGTGGCGGGCGGGGCGGAGGCCGTGGACTGCGAAGGGCCCTGCCCCTGCCCGGCGGCGGGCATGCGGGAGCTGCTGGCCGACGGCGACGGCGAGGCGCAGCCCTGCACCAAGGAGTACGTGCCGGTGTGCAGCGTGGATGGAGAGACGTTTGCCAACAGGTGCCTGGCCGGGGACGCGGAGATTGCGTACGAGGGGGAGTGCAGGGCGGTCAGGCCCTGCCCCGCCATCTACGCGCCCGTCTGCTCAGCCGACAACGCAACGTACGGCTCGGACTGTGTGGCGGAGGGCGCGGGCGCGGAGGTTGCGTGCAGCGGCGAGTGCCCCTGCCCCAAGCCCGACGCCAAGCCGTGCCCGCTGAACTGGGCGCCGGTGTGCGGCGTGGACGGCGCCACCTATGGCAACGACTGCGCCGCCGGCGACGTTGAGATCGCTTGCCAGGGGGAGTGCCCTTGCAAGGGGGACGCCGCTGAGGGGCAGTCAACTGACGGCGACGATGCCGTCTGCATGACCATGGTCGACCCCGTGTGCAGCATGGGTGAGGGTCGCAGGCGCAGCCTGCCCTGCTGTGGGGGCATTCTGCCAAGCGCGGCTTCTCTCCTCGCCGGATGCTTCCCGTGCAAAAGTTTGTTGATGGGGCCTGCCTGCCTGCCCACCTGCCTGCTCGTGCAGACGGCGAGACATATACCAACGGCTGCTTTGCCAGGGTGGCGGGTGCAGTGGTCGACTGCCAGGGCAAGTGCCCGTGCCCTGGTGAGTGTGCCGGCTGGCTGGTTCAGGTTCAGAGCCCGGCCCAGCTGTTGGATGGAAGTGCCCGGCCCACGCTCCCATCCTTTCCTGCCTCCTGGCCTGGGCGGGTCCACCAGCCCAGATCTGTTCAGCCTACGAAAGCATCATTGCTGAGCTTCCCCAGCTCGTCCCCTGCCCTGCAGAGGTGCTTGAGGCGCTGCAGACGCGGGGCGGAATAGTGCTGGTCCCCACAGATGATGCGCTGCTGGAGGCGCTGGAAGCATTTGCCAACCTGACCGACGCCTCCGGTGCGCCACACCACCGCTGCTTCCTGGGCAGTGGGCCGCTTGGCTTGAACTGCTGGTGCCAGATGGCCAGAAGAGGGAGCGGGCTGTGGTTTGACAATGATGGCTGTGTGGTGTTGTGCCTGCAGGTGACCTGCTGAACAACACCGCGCTGCTGAAGCTGATCCTGGCCCGCCACACCATCCTGGCGGTGAGCCTGCATCATTTGGGCAGCAGCCAGTCTGCATTCCAACTGCTGTGATCCACACTGGCCACGTGCGGCACGTTGCGCCCGCCCATCTGCCCCGCGCACCTTGCATGTCTTTGCAGAGGCCTGGAGAGAAGCTGCCAACTCCCAGCGAGGATGGCACCCTTGCGCTGACCCAGGCGGGCGAGCGTGTGCGGCTGTTTGCTGACGAGCAGTTGGAGCTGGAGAGCGTGGGCACCGGACCGCGCGGAGGAGACAAGATCCCGGTGCTGGCCAGCGTGAAGGGCTGCAAGCTGGCAGTCTACCAGATTGCGGTGGTGCTGGAGGGGCCCGGGGCGACTTCCCGCTAGCCGAGATGCCCTGAGCATAGGAGCTCAAAGAGTTGATGCTGCCAGCTGACGGTCCACGCGAGCAGGCAGGCTGAATTTTGTGGAGCGCCCAGCATAGATTCCAGAGAGAGACAGCAGAAGAGCGAGCGCACACCAAGTAGCCGTTAGATATGCTCGCGCCCTAGTTAGGTCCGCTACCATGCATGCTGCTCATCCCATTCATTTCCTGATGCATCCCCTTGTTGAAGAATCATTGTCACAACATGCCCGCGGGCCTTGAGAACAGGCAGGCGCTTTTAAATCTGGACTTGTTCACGCCGGTCACTGTGTGAACAAGCCACACAAAAATGAAAACATGATAGCACAGGGGATGGGGAATTCGCTACAGTGTGTTGTGCTGCAATCTGCCGCTGCCGGTCACTGCTTGGCAGCCAGGCCAGGGAAGTTGCACTTGAAGACGGCGGCCGGCAGGCGCTTGGCCTCCTCCTCGGAGTAGCAGGCGCTTGGCACCGCCGCAGACATGCACCACACGCAGTAGTTGGGCGAGTCATCGCACGACACCTGCATGGCACGTGGCGGGTGGGCAGGACAGGGTGTGGCGCAGGTATGGGGGCGTGGCGGTGGTGGTTGCTTGGTGGGTGGGTGGGTGGAAGGGTGAGTCGTGGATGCATCAAGCCATCTCAAGCCATCAAGCACGGGTCCAGATGGGCCGCCATGGGGTACCACACCTCGTCCAGATAGCTCTGGCAGTCCACATTGGGCTGCGCCGGCGGTGGCGTCGGGAAGTCGCACTTGAAGAACTTGGCCGGCAGCTTGGCGGCGATCTTCGTTTCGAAGCAGAAGTCCACCTTGCCCCAGGCGTGGCACGGCACGCACCTGCGGGCACAAACAGGGGCGGCAGGACACGCACCCTGGTTTGCACTCCACACACACCCTGCACACAGCGGATGCCAAGAGCAAGCGCTGCATGTTTGCTTTGGCGCATCAGCGCACTTGTCGACGTGCTCTACACACTGCGTGTCGTTGTACAGCACGCAGACGTCAATGTCCCTGAGGGGGCTGACGGTCCGGGAGGTGGCGGCGACGGCCACCGCCATTAGGGCGGCCACCAGCAGCGGCGCGCGAATTGAGTTTGGCGCCATCATGAGGTCGCCTCGGCAGGACCAGGGGTGGTGTGTAGCGTGCAGATGGGGTTATACGCCTAGGGCTTCAGCGAAAAGTGGGCCGCTGCCTGGGCTCGCGTGGTGATCAATGACACTGAGCACAAATGCCTGGAATTGTGCTTCAAGCGGTCTGGGAGCCGCCTCCAAAGGGGCTGATGAGGTTGCCCTGCAGCACAGCACGTGAAATGCCACGCCAGAACTTGATGCTGTTCTCCAAACGAGGCCCTTTCGAGCATCAAGCATTGGCCTACTAGCCTACGCGAGCCTGCAGCGCCAGAACCCTCCGGCTTGCGGGCCATTCTGGGGTGCCACATTCGCTGCCAGAGTGCTGGGCAGGCCAAACCGTCGGGTCTGAGGCTGGCAGGCAGCGGAGATATCGCAGGCGCCGCTGCGGCGATCACGGTGTTCCCTTGTGGCCGCCGCCTGCCCTAGTCGCCGGGCGCTTGGCGCCGCAGCGCTCTGGCTACCGCGGAACAGACAATAAGAGATGGGTCCAGAGGCCGTCGGACTAGTCCCGCTGGTCCTGTGCCTGGCTGTGGCTATCCTCTTGGGCCATGCAGTGCACGTGCGACGGTGAGCAGCAGTCCTGCACAACCATGCCACCGCGCCGCCGGGTCGCCACCTCTCCCGACACCCTGCGCCCTGCCCCTGCCTGTCCCTGCAGCATCTTCTTCCTCACCGAGGCGACAGTGTCGCTGTTGGTGGGTATGGCCACGGGCGGTGCAGGTGCGTGGGTGCTGCATGCAGGCACCCGCACCCGCACTGGATCCCATGCTGGTGCCTGCAGTCCTGCCACATCTTTGCCAACTTGTGCTGCGTGCTGGCGCCGGCTGCAGTGCTGGCTTATTACATGGTGTGGAAGGGCGTTCGCATCCCAGCCACCCTCGTGGAGTTCAACACCCAGGCAAGCCATGCACGAGCTGCACTGGGGGTGGCAGGATTTGTCTGCGGCACCGCGGGCACCCATGCTGGCTGCTCAGCCTGCCTGCAGATCTTCTTCGATGTGCTGCTGCCCCCAATCATCTTCAATGCGGGGTTCAGCGTGAAGAAGAAGGTGCGGCAGGCCCGCCCCCCGCTTGCGCGCGAGGGCCGCTGCGGCTTGGTTTCGGGGGTTGGGGCCGGCTTGGGTGCCGGCTGAGTTCCTCCTCACTCACCATGCCTGCGTCTGTGCCTGCTCGCAGTCTTTCTTCCGCAACTTCACCACCCTGGTGCTGTACGGCGTGCTGGGCACATTCAGCACCTCGGCGCTCATCGCCACAGGTGCGCCCCTAGGGCAGATGAGCCACATGGCTGTCGCTTGTTACGCAAATGCAAGCCAGACAGGACGCCCTGCTCAGGCCATGCTGTCGACGCCGCTTGGGGGCTGCGGTCACCCGCGTGCCTTCCCGCAGGCTGCTACAGCATCCTGTCGAGCGTGGGGCTGGACGGCCACCTGGTAGCCGACAGCCTGGCGCTGGGCACCATCTTCAGCTCGACAGACAGCGTGGCCACCCTGCAGATCCTGGACCAGGTGCGCCGCAGGGGGCGGTACGGCTGCGCAGGGGCTGGGTGCGCGTGTGGGGGCCGCGCTGTGCGCCCCTGCATGTGGAGGACCAGACGGGCCGAGGCAGAGAGCGTGGCTTCGCTGACCAGCACCGGGCGCTGTGGCATGCTGTGCAGGACACGGCCCCCGTGCTGTACAGCCTGATCTTCGGGGAGGGCGTGGTCAACGACGCCACCTCCATCGTGCTGCTGCGGGCGGTGCAGAAAATCAGGTGGGACATGTGTGGCGACAGAGAATGTGTTGGCAAGGTGTGCGCCCTGCCAGGCTGCCCATGCCAGGCTGTCTTCACTCACCTGCGCTCTGGCTCTTGCCAGCCACACAGGCAGACCATCCAGGCTGGTTGAGTGATCTTTTCATGTGCCTGCCCTCCTGCCCACCTGCAGCCGCAAGTCTGAGCTGACCGCCGACACGCTGATGCTCGTCATCCTCAACTTCTCCCGCTTGTTTGTGCTCAGGTGGGCCCGCCGGCCTGCCACCTGTCCACCGCCCTGCCTGCTCTGCTGGTCAGCTTCACCCCTGCTGGTGGCTGCGTGGTGCGGCTAGGCTGCCGCAACCTGCCTGCCCTAGAGCGGCACCCCTGATCAAGAGGCTTGTGTTCCTGCCCCGCAGCCTGCTGCTGGGTGCAGGCGTGGGGCTGGTCAGCGCCTCCCTCATCAAGCGCTCCTTTGTGCACCACTCAACCGATCGGTGAGCGCCAGCTGGCTGCGTTGGCGAAGGCCCCGCCCATCCCCTCTCGCTTTCACAAAAGTCTCAACCTGCCTGCCTGCTTGCCTGCCTTCCTGAGTCGCCCTGCCTGCCTGCCCCGCCCTGCATGCAGGGAGGTGTCCCTGATGGCGCTGCTGGGCTTCCTGGCCTACCTGCTGGCCGAGGAGCTGCAGCTGTCGGGCATCTTCAGCGTCTTCTTCGCGGGGCTGACCATGAGGTGGGGCCACAGCAGGCGCAGCAGCCACAGCAGGGCAGCAGCATGGCAAGCAGCATAGCAAGCAGCATGGGTGGGCCCTGCGGCAGCGTGGACAGCGGGCGGGCCAAGTGTCGCGGACCTCTTTGTGCCCGCCGTGCGCTGCTGAGCGCTGGTCCCCGCCAGCAGGCACGCCCACTGGCCTGCCCCGCTTTGCCTGGCCGCGCTGCAGCCACTACACCTGGCACAACCTGTCTCCCTCGGCCAAAGTGGTCACAGGTGGGCGAGCGAACCGTGGCTGCAACCCCACAAGCTGTGACCTGCGCGTGTGCGCACCCCAGCATGCCCCCTCCGCCCCTCCCGCTCCACCTGTGCCCCCCCGTTCCCACCTCGCCCCCACCTCGCCCCCACCTCGCTCCCACCTCGCCCCCACCTCGCTCCCACCTCGCCCCCACCTCACCCCACCCCGCAGTCTACCTGTTCCGCATCGTCTCCTTCACCGCCGAGCTCTTCCTCTTCCTCTACGCCGGCTTCTCCATGTGGAGCACCACGCTGTGGCAGGGAGACATCTACACGCGGGTGGGTGCGCAGCGGGGAGGCGGGGGGGCAGCGGCCACCGGGGGCCGTGCCCACCAAGGCAGCAGGGGTGCCCAGCACTCTTGGTACGCGCCCATCCTTCCCTCGGCCCACTGGCATGGACCTGCGGCAGATGCAGGAGGGCTGGAGGCCCTGGCTGATGGGCCTTCCTCCCCGCGGCTGCTGCCCTGCGCTGCAGGCCAGCGCGATGCGGACGGCAGGCCTGCTGGCGGCGGCGCTGGTGGTGCTCGTGTTTGCGGCGCGCGCCCTCACCCTCATCCCCCTCACCCTGCTGGCCAACACGTGGCGCCCCGCGGGCTCCAAAATCACAGTCCGCCAGTGGGCCGTCATCTGGTGGGCTGGCAGCATGCGCGGGGCAGGTGAGGGGGCTGCAGCCAGCGCGCCGCCTTGCGGGCCGGAGGCCCGCCTGGAGTGGGCCGTGCCGTGCACTTGCCCACCCAGGCGCGCCCTTCCTTTCCTGCCATCCATCCATGCATGCGTGTGACATGCGGACACTCGCGCACCACCACCACCACCACCACCACCACCATCACCCCCGCCCTCCTCCCCTGCCCGCAGTCACCGTGGCCATGGCCTTCCAGAACTTTGGGCGGCAGAAGGAGGAGCCGACAGACAACCAGGTGCTGGTGGTGGCATCCAACGCCGCCGTCATCTTCATCACCGGTGGGCTGAGCTGGCGCTGAGCTGGACCGCTGAGCTGGAGCGCTGCACTGGACTGCATTGCTTCGCTGAACTGGACTGATTGCTTCGCTGAGCTGGACTGTGCTTCGCCGCTGTCGTGCCCGCCTGGCCTTGCTGCTTGACACGCCTCCCCCGCCCCGCCTGCCCTCGTGCCCGCCTGCCATCCCGGTGCAGTGGTGCTTGGAGCGGTGACCAGCACCCTGCTGGGGTGGCTGATACCCAAGGACGAGCTGGCTCCCGCCAACACCTTTGCCACGCTGCCTTCCATCCAGGATGGCGTCAGGTGAGCCGCCCGCCGCCGCGGGCGCCACTGCCGCTGCTTCATGTGCATGTGATAACTGCGGCGGCATCTCCCCAGCTCTCCTCTGCCGCCTCCTCATGGCGGCCAGCCTTGCGCCCACCCTGCGTCGCGCCTCCCTGCCCCCGCCCCGCCGCGCCCTGCAGCCCGCCGCTGCTGGCCACCGCGCTGCACTGGAACCGCGCCTCTCCCATCTACCGGGCCTGGCACCACGTGGACCAGCGCTGGCTGCGCCCGCTGTTTGGGGGCCGCGCGCCGCACGCGGCAGGCTACCGCTCGCCGCCGCCCAGCCCCGGCAAGCGCATCATCCAGCGGGTGATGGGTCCGGGCATCATGAAGCGCCTGGGCGCTGATGCGCTGGAGGCGGAGGAGGAAAGCACGGCCCCCGGATCCAGCCTGGCCTCCAGCTACGGCGCCGCCTCCAGCCACGGCCCCGCCGCTGCCCTGCGCCAGCCCCTGCTGGGTGGCAGTGGTGGCCACGTCGTGCCTCCGCCCTCGTCGGCGCCAGGGCTTTCGAACGCCAAGTCGGGCAAGCGGCGGCCGGACGCGTTCCGCCTCTGGCCGGCCGCCTTGGAGCCAGAGGTGCCGGCTGCAGAGGCGGGGGCTCGGTCGGCCGCGCCGCCACGCGCGGCGGCGGCGGCCACCCCGCCGCTGTCTGTGCGCAGCCTGGAGGCGCTGGACATGCACCCAAGCACCGCGGTGGAAGGTGCGCCCGCCGCCGCGCCTGCCCGCGCAGCCGCCACCGCCGCCGCCGCCCTGGCGCCACCCTGGCACTGCTCTGTCGGGCTGCCTGGCAGCAGCAGGCCGCTGGGCACCAGCTGCGCGTGGCGATGGCGTGCGCACGCTGCGCCTGCTGTGCTGCAGAGCTGTTCAACTGCGACTCCAACCGGCTGGACAGCCTGAGGAGCCAGCAGCTGGACTGGAAGGACAGCAGGCAGTACGGCGAGGCGGCCTGGCTGGCGGCGGGGGCCCCCAGCGACAACAGCTCGGGGGCCTCTGGCTCGCAGCTGCAGCAGGCGGTGCTGGGCGAGGAGGAGGGGGCCGGGGAGGAGGCCGAGGGCGCTGCCAGCGGCGCAGGGCCGCCGGCGCGCGACTACGCCGCTCGCAGGTCTCCTTTCCAGTAGTGGCGCCTGAGGGCTGCCGATGTGCACAGGGAGGGCGAGGAGCCCTCTGAACTGCACATCTGCTAGTATCCTAGTATCCTAGAACGTCCTCGGTGCCTCTGCTGCAAACGAGCTCCGGTCCAACCCAGTGCCTGCCACTGCCGCTGCACTTTGTTGGGCCCCTCTCTTGCCCCTTTCCTCTCTCCCCTCAGCTATTTTGGTACCAATCCATTATTGATCAATCCTTCAGCTTTACAGGCAGAGCCTGGCCGCTGTCACGGTGTCAGGCTGGCTTGTAACTGCACAGGCTGGGCGGCTGCAGCAGGGTGGCTGGCTGCTACTTGGTCTTGCCTTCCGTGGCCTTGCGCAGCAGCTCCACCGCATCTTTCTTTATCACCCCCGCCGCCAGCTGGCCGTCCTCATGGAAGTACTCCCCCACGCTCCTGGACAGAGACTGGGCGCCGCCGCCTCTCGATGCCGCACGAGCGCCCCTGCAGCGGCAGCCCGGCCCGCGCTCGCTGAGGGGCGGCGCTCCCTCACGCAGGGCACGCTGCGGCTGCTGGCAGGCCAGCTCAGCCTGGCCCCCGTGCGGGGTCTCCCACCACACGCGTGCACGCACGCACGCACCCCCCGCCCCTCTCAGCCACGGCTCGCACCTGGGCGTCACACACAGCGTGTAGAACTGCTGGAAGCGCGGCAGGCGGGAGGCGATGGCCAGCGCGGGCGGGCCGCCTGGCGCCGCCCGCGTGAAGGCAATCACATCCTTCTCGCACACCATCGCAACAACTGCACCACAAACGCAGCGGCCAGCGCAAACGGCACGGCAGATGGTTGGCAAACGTGGCAGGCCTGCACGCAGCAGCCATCAGCCCAGCGTGCGCCCCTCCACGCCCTGCCACCCACCCGTCATGAGTGACGACAGCACCACATAGGCCACCACGCAGCCGGCCAGCAGCAGGGTGTTGTCTGGGTACTTCTTGGGGTAGAACTGGGCCAGGCAGGCCACGCCGCAGCTGCAGGCAGGCACGGGAGAGCATGGGGTTGGCGGGAGGGCGAGATTGGTTTCAGCAGCGGGTGCAACAGAGCTGCTCTGTAAACGCAATGGGTGCAGGATCTGGTGTGGTGCTGCATGCTGACATCAATCACACCAGCCGCTTCTGAGGTGCTGCATCTGCTCGCGGCAAGTGCTGCGCCGAGGAGGGCAACGGCAGGCGGCAAGTGGCGGCGGGCGGGCACTCACGCGAGCAGGCCCAGGACGATCTTTGTGTCCGTGTATATGTTGTCTATCCGATGTCCCTCTTCACCGGCAGCCTGCAGGCCCCAGCAGCACCTCCAGCCAGTGGACTCCTGGTCATCGGAGCGATCGGCCCGCGGGCGGGCCGTACCTCGATCACCGCCTCATCAAGCGCCCGCTTCAAGCTGGTAGTGTCCCCCAAGTCGATCTTTTCGGGCTTCTTCTCGTGGTGCTCCTCCTCTAGCTTGAACACGTCCTTCTCCTCCTTCTTCTGCTTCTGCTTGGGCATGATGGCAGGTTGCAAAGTGCACAGACGTGCGAAGAGGCGAGAATGCACCATCACTATTCTCCCTTTCCATCATTGCCAAAAACCGACTCCCGCCCAATTCAAGGCCTCTTTGCACCCCCTGATTGATTCTCCCAGCTCCATACCATGTCTTTAGCCCAAGAGGCCAAGCACGGCACGCTGGAGGCCGCGCTTGAGAATGTCGAGACCCAACTGGTGAGGGGTGGCAGCTGCAAGACGCTGCACCGCTGGATGACGAACCCCAAGCACAATGTGATTGATCCATCTGTGTTACTGCATCTGCAGGGCAAGGTGCTGTCGGCCATAGCGGCGTCGGTGGCGTCGGTGGCGGTGAGCTGGCCCAGTCGTCGCCCTCTCTCCTCTGTCCGCTTCCATCTGCCATTCTGCTCACAGCATCTGGCGCCTGCCTGCAGGACACGCTGCGCACAGCCTCCACCAGCGAGACGGGCACCTCCAACGCCCTGGGGGACAAGCAGCTGGTCGCCGACGTGGCGGCAGACAGCTGCGTGTTTGCCGCGCTGCGCGCCTGCGGCGCTGTGGAGCTGGCCAGCAGCGAGGAGCAGCCAGCGGACCATGAGCTGGGTGGCAGCGGCTACTCGGTGGCCTTTGACCCTCTGGATGGCAGCTCCATCATCGGAGCCAATTGGGCGGTGAAACGGGGCTGCGGTGCATAGCTCGGCTGCTGGCCTGCCTGCCGCACCCTGTCCCAATGCCGCTTCCATAGGGCCACCCTTGTGGGAAGTGGAGCCACAATGCAGCAACCTCAGCTTCACCATGCTGTGCTCATTTCCGGTTGCAGGTGGGCAGCATCTTCGGCGTGTGGCGGGGCCGCGGCTTTGTGGGGCGCAGCGCTCGGGAGCAGGTGGCGGCAGCGTACGCGGTGTACGGGCCCAAGACGCTGCTGGTGGTGGCGCGGCGGGTGGCGGCCGCAGAGGTGGCGGCGCGCCAGGGGCGGCAGCACGTGGTGCAGGAGTTTGTGCTGCTGCCCTCGGGCGCGTGGCAGCTGAGCCGGTGAGCGGGGGCGCAGCCGCGTCTTCAGCGAGAGCGCGTGCATGCAGGGGACCGGAGCCTGGGCCAGCCCCGCGCAGCAGCAATGGTAGCTGGCTGGCTGTGTGGGGCCGCAACCTGCCTGCCCTGGCGCATGCCTGGCCGCCACGGGAGCCTGCAGGGCTGATGTTCGCATCCCAGAGTCCAAGAAATGCTTTGCCAGCGCCAACCTGCGTGCCACCGCAGACAATGCGGCCTACCGGCAGCTGGTGCTGGGCTGGATGGAGGAGCGCTACACGCTGCGCTACTCTGGTGGCCTGGTGCCAGACCTGCACCACATACTGGCAAAGGTGGGTGGGTGCTCGGGGTTGGGTGGGGGGATGGGGGCTGCTGCAGCCTGCGGCGAAGAGAGAGGCTACTGCTGGGCAGCAGTGCAACACTTGGATGCAGGCAAGCGGCTAGCCTCGCCTGGCGGCAGCCACAGGGTGTGGTGATGGCACTGCGGCTGCTGCACACCAACACCAACGCTGCGTGCAGGGCGGCGGCGTGTTCTGCAACCCCACCTCCCCCACCTGCCCCGCCAAGCTGCGCTGCCTGTACGAGACCTTCCCCCTGGCGCTCATCACCGAGGCAGCGGGCGGCAGCAGCCACGACGGCCGCGGCTCGGGTGCGGGGGCGGCTGCTGGTAGGGGCACGCGCACTCCTGCCTGTGCTCCCCTGCCGCGTCCTGCCCGGCTCAAGAAGCTTCGCTCCCCTTCTCCACCCACCCTGCTGCAGCGCTGGATGGCAGACTGGAAGCTCATGACCAGCGTGGCCCACTGTGCCTGGGGTCCACAGCTGAGGTGGCAAAGTGCCTGCCCGCCATGCTGGCGGGGCTGTGAGCTGCACATGGGCACTGCCCGCTTGCATTGCCTCTCCTTGTGGGTTGTGCGCATGTCACAAGTCGAGACGTCAAATAGCTAAGGAGGTCAGCGGCTCGAGCAGCAGCAATCAAACGATCATCGGCATCAACGCAGGAAACGATAGGAATTGAATACAGGAATGTGTTTTGAGTTTCGGCTTCTTTTGCAGGAAAAATGAAATCGGGTGTTGCTGTATAAAAACGCACGGCGGTCAAACGCTGGGCACGCGCCACAGAAAAAGACCCTGACTCACGCCCTCGTCATATAAAAACACTTAGCAGCAACGTGGAGGCAACAAGAGCTAAAGGTAACATCTTCGGCGGTATCGACTGAATTCAAGGCGGCGCGACAGGCGCATGTGGTGGTGAAGTTGGAGCAGGGGTAAGGGGTGCACGTTTGGGGCACCGTTGTAGGGTTGGCACGAAGAACAGAAGGACAGATTAGGCACATTTGGTGCATGGTGGGGCAGTGTACGGAGGGGGCCGCCGCCCGGCACCGCAGCTTGGCGCGGGCGGGCGGGCAGCGCGTGTGGGGCGCGTCGTCTGTCGCAGGCTTGGTGTGTGTCATCCTTTGGCTGGGAGTGCCGCTGAAGAATCGCGGGTGGTGATGGTCCTCCAAGAGGGCCGCCTTTGTGGCGGCTCCGGCAACTGTGCTGAGGGGGCTTGGGCTGAAGAGAGAAGGGTTCTAAGCAAGTAGTAGAGGGGGGTATTGTTTCGAGTGGGGGGGGCTACGAAGGGGGCTAAGCAGGTATTGCTGCGACATGAAAGGAGCAGAGAGGGCTGGCGGCACGACAGGAGGCCGCGTGGGATGGGATTGCATGGGATGGAGCAACGAAAAACTGTAGGGAGGGCGGCGGGCACGGCTGGGGGCTGCAACAGCCTCGGCCGTGACACAATATGTGCAGGCGCGGCGGGGGGTGAGGAGCCGGGGCCTGGTCGCCGCAGCCCAGGCGCCGCCCCCGCCGCAGGTGCCCACGAGTGGGTGGCCAGAGACCAACGGCGGGAGGTGTTGCCGGGCGCCGGATTGGCGCCAAGAATGAGCAGAGGGCACAAGTATCAATTGCGCGGGGTTAGCAGCTCAGAAAACGGGGGTTGTGGGTGGAGGGGGTGCCCGGGGGCGGCGGCGCGCAGGGGTTGCGTGCGCTCCAAGAAGAATGAGGGGGCGAAGAAGACGGAGGGAAGAAAGAAGGAGGTCATGGGAGGGCAAAGCTTTGCATGAAATGGTGCCAGCACGGAGGGAGACGATGATTTCGGGGGGTGCACGGGCTCACGTGCCGCGAGGGTTGGGCATGCGCCGGGCGCCCGCTGCCGCGGCTCTCGCGCCAGGGGCGCGGGCCGGCGGCAGCGGGGTGCAGAGGGGCGCATGCGCGTCGCTGGCGGCAGCCGCAGCTTGAATGGTGTGGCATGAAGGGGGCGGGCCAGTTGGCGGCCCCTCCGTCGGTACATGTGTGGCAGGCCGCTTGTGCGGCTGCCGGCTCAGAGCGTGCGAGCCTGCAGGGCGGGCGCCGCAGGCAGGAGCGGCGCCAGCACGGGGGCCGCGGGCGAGCGCGCCGCTGCCATCAACGGCTTGGCTGGCGAGGCCAGCGCGGCGGCGCCGGTGGGCTTGGTGGGCGACAGCGGCGGGCGCCCGGCGCCAAACTTGGACTGGATGCCAAACTGCGGGGAGGGGTCGGGAGGAGGCGGGAGCAGGGCAACGGTCGGCGGCAGCTGAGGCGTCATAGCCTGCCTGCTGCGCTAATGCCGCTCATCCTCGCTCCCCACAAACACTACTCAGGTTTCGCAGCCTCTCAGCGTGGCCCTGCACTGCTCTGCCCCCTCACCCTCTCCACCCCACCCCAGCGCCCACCTGCGTGTCCAGCTCCGCCATGAAGCGGCGCAGGCGCTTGGTGGCGGCCCCCGCCACGTCGCGCGACCGCAGCGCCGCCGCCTGCTTGCAGGCCAGCACCTGCGCCACCGCCGCCACCGCCGCGCTGGCCGCGTGCGCCTCGTGCACCGCCACCTCCAGCTCCTGGTTCAGCCGCACCAGCTCCAGCACCTTGGCTGGCGGCAGGCAGCGGCTGAGGTCAGACAGGGTGACGGGGGCGACGCGGTGGTGGGGCGGGGCGCCGGCGCCGGCGCCGTAGCGCGCCGCCAGAGCGACCAGGGAATCGTGGTTGAACTGCTCGGCGTCAAAGTGCAGGGCCGCAGAGGCGGGGCTGGCGGGGCAGGCGGCGGGCGCCGGGCAGGGGTGCGCCGCCGCGGCGGGGGCGGCGCCACACGAGGCAGCCGCGTGCGCCGCCGCCGTCTGGGTGGCGCTCATCGTCATCAGGTTGATGGCGGCGTAGCAGTCGCTGCCGCGGGGCGCGCCGCCGGCGGCGGCGGGCGGCCACGATACCTCCTCGGGGCAGCTGGAGGAGGGCTGGGAGTAGCCGTCGGAGGAGGAGCTGGGGGTGGCGGCACGCGGCGCCTCCTCGCAGTGCGCCTGGGCCTCGGCCCACTCGCCTGCAGGCAGGCGGGCAAGCAGACAGGCCCGGCGGCGTGAGGCCACGCCGAGGCGCCGGCAGAGCACAGCTGGGCTCCATGCCCCTCGAGCCCCGGCTGCGCAGCCCGGCGGCTGGCCGGCCAGGCCAGGCGGCGCGCCACCCACCTGTGCGTGCGTAGCGTGCCGTCCTGAAGGCGGCCTCCTCGGCGGCGCGCCGGGGCGGGCGCCGCGTGCCGTGGGCGGCAGGCAGGCCCCAGGCCTCCGAGTCGGGCTCCAGAGAGCCGTAGCTGTCCATGGTGGGGGCGTCTGTGGCGGGATGGGGCAGAGGCAGGGGCAGCGGGAGGGGAAGAAAGGCTCAGATGTGGCGCCGGGCGCAGGGCAATCAAGGCATTGCGTGGCACTCGCCAGCTGCGCGTGCTGTGCAGCCGGGAACGGCACGCCGTGGCCGGCGCCGCCCGCCCCACCTTGCGAGTACTGCGCGCCGCGGCTGGCCCCATACTTGGGCGCCGCGAACGCGTGCTTGGCCTGCGGCGGCGGCGCGGGCGAGGCCGACAGCCTGCGGCGCTTGGCGCCCTCCTGCTCCGCGCGCAGCTTGCGGGTGCGCTTTACGCCACATGCGTTGCACAGCGTCTTGGCGCCTGCGCCAGGGCGGCGGTGGGAGGATGAGCGCCGGAAGCGTGGCGGGCGCGCACAGGCGGGGCGGGAGCCGACCGAGGTGACCACCCGCTCTTGTGCGGGCAGGGCGCTCAGCTGGTCCTGCCACACTCACCAAAGGGCCCCTCCCGCCACTGCGGCGTCTTGGTGGCACCACACTTGGTGCAGCACTTGACGCCGTTGATGGCGCCGTGGGCAAAGGCAAACTCCTCGTCGTCAAACGGCGAGCTCTGGTGCGCCGCGCCCGGGCCGGCGAGTTCTGTCATATCGAAGGGCTGGGTGCCTGCAGGACAGAGTCACCAGGCGGGAGGAGGTCAGGATGGGGGGCCCTGCAGGGGGAGGGGTGGGGGTGCTGGGGGCAGCCCATCTCATCCAAATCGGGGCCGTGGGCCTCACGCCGGAACCAAGCAGGCGGTGCCAGAGCACTTGGCAGGTGCAAGACGCACAGATCACGGCAACGGAGGGTGCAATGCGCTTGGTGAGAGGCTGGAACTTGGCATCAAACGAGAGCCGCTGATCAAGGCACAGCAGGAGAGGGGGTGGATAGGTGGCTAGCGGGTTGGCAGGGTGCAGAAACGGCTGGGGAAAGAACTGGGGGCAGGGCGCCAAACGGCAAGTGAAGACCCCTCGAGGGCGCCAGCGGGAGGGGGCCCATGCAGCCAGCAGGCTCAGGCGGGTGTGGGGGAGGGCGCAGAGGACAGCTAGAGGGCCTGGCACACAGAAAAGGACCCCCTGTCGTGGACATGACCGCGCAAATGGGTGGCGGCGTGGGGGGCGCGGTGGCCGCTGCCGGAGGCCCTGCAGCGCGGCCCATGACCTCACCTGCACTGTCGCAGGTGCTCATAGATGGCAGCCAGATGGCTGCAATAGCTGGGGAGTGCGTGGTCACCGATCAGCCCCGGTCCCGCGATCTCCCGTGCGCTTGCGGCAAGACAAGCGCACAGTGCCAAGTGATGTTGCCGATGGTTGCCCGCAGAGTGGGCAGCCAAGGAAAATGAGCGAGTATGATCCAAAAGCGCAGCGAGCTTTGCGGCGGAGGTCGCAAGGGGGGCCCTGGGTCATGAGGTCCAATCACATTAGGCGCGAGAAACGTGCACGGGAATACACCACTGCATGCGCATGGGGTGGCTGTGCCGAAGTTGTCAACCCGCCCGCCTGCCGTGCCCAAGAGGCAGTGGTGCCTGTGGCGGGCAGCGGTGGCGGTGGCGCCACACGGCTGGGCGAGTGAGGAGCCAAACCGGTTGCCTTGATGTCGGGTGTGCAGCCGTGCTGGCGTCGGCAACACTATCCTGGTGCTAGCTGCGGGTAGTTTGCGGAATGGTTTCAGGCACGCGGCACCTCCTGCCGACCCCTGCGGTGCACACGTTGCGCCATGGCGTCAGCGAGACGGGAGGGGTAGCAAGGGCAGTGTTGGACTGTGCTTTCAATCTGTGCAAGCTGCCAGCCTCAGGGTCAGGCACTGGGCTATGCTTTGGGCGGATGATGAGCGAGGCAAGGCCACTGGGTGTCCACTGTCACAGAAAAAGCAGCGTCTGCGGCGCGGCTACTCATGCCTGGCAGCTCACTGGACGACAGCAACACTGACACTAGCTTATCATGCTGTAATCCTTTTGGTAAACGATTGATTATTATTGTGGTTGGCAATTGGAGGCCAATTCGCTGGAGAGGACCCGCTCCTCGTCCGCCCAGCGCACGCGGCAGGACACTGGCAGCCGCAGCGGACACAGGTAGTTCTTTTTCCAGCTGCAGTTCTTCTCATCACGCGTGTGCAGGGTGTTTTCTCTTTCAGGAGTCACCAGCCAACATGGCGGACTCGACCGGCAGCGGTGTGAGCCCGGGAGGGCCCCGCATCTCGTCTGCGAAGAAGAGAAGGTGCGCCAACAGTCGCAGGGAGCGAGCGGCTGGACGTCCCTCACTGCCGCCCAGCACCCGCCGCGCCGCCGTTCCTAAGCGTCACCTTCTCAAGGCCTCACGTGTGCCTTGCAGGCTGGCCGCCCTGGAGCAAAACCTGGGTGCAGTCGGTCCAGGCGGCGGTGGTGCAGCACATCCCCGTGGCAGCACAGCCCCGCCGCTTTCAGGGAGCAGCGGCGCGCCAAAGGCACCCAAGGCGCGCTCCAGCGGCGGCGGGCGTGGAGCCCGCGGCGGCAGCGCGGGCGGGGAGCAGCCCCCGCTGCCGTTGCAGCAGCAGCAGCAGCAGCAGCAGCAGGCGTGGGAGCCGCCGTACAATCGCCTGGAGGATGCCATTGCCACGGGGCCGGCGGCGGGGGCGATGGACCTGCCGCCGCCCCAGCCCGGCTCCCAGGTTGTGTCAGAGCTGCTGGTGTCGCTCATGGCCACCAACCCGCGCGCCTTCGATGCGCGGGCAGCCATAGGGCTCAAGGTGCAGGACCGCACAGTCATGCTGGACAACCCGGCGGGCCAGAAGCAGCAGCGGCGGCGGCGGCAGCAGCCCAGCCGCTGGGCGGCGCAGCTGGCCAGCAAGGCGCAGCAGCGGCGGCTGGGCCTGTACCAGCTGCAGACCACGGGGCTGACGTGAGTGGCAGCAGCTGCTGCCAGCGGTCTGCTGGCTGGGGGAAGGGAACAAGTTTTTTTTTGGCTGCCTTGAAGCCGGCCTGAGGTGTCCACCTGCTGCACTGTGCCTCAGCAGGCATGGTGCATGGCTCGCATGGCCCAGCCAACTGCCCTCTCGGCTGCTGCCCTCTCCCCCTCTGCGCAAGTGCAGGTACGAGGCGGTGCAGCCGTTGTACCGCAGCTGGCAGCAGTACATGCAGGAGCTGCTGGCGCCGGGGGTGCAGGATGTGGAGGCGCGCCTGTACGGCGCAGACCTGCACGGCTGCCTCATCAGGGTGTCTGCCATGCTAGGTGGGCATGTGCATGGCATGCAGTGGAAGTGGGCTGGGGAAGGGGGTAGGGTGGAGCAGGCAGTCATGCCGCCGGGAAAGCCTGATGCCAAAGGCCCCCGCTTTCCTGCGTGCCTGCCAACCCGTTTCCTGCAGAACCGCGGTATCAGGGTCTGCGGGGCATTGTGGTGCGGGACACAGCCAACACGCTGCAGCTGGTCACGCCTGAAAACCGATTCGTGGTTGTGCCCAAGCGGGTGAGCCGCCAGGCATGTGCCGGCATGCAGGCTGGCCAGAGTGCTCTGCCACAGAGGCGGCTGTGCTTGCATTCCCACTATACGGCCGAGGAACATGTGCCTCCTTGCCCGACTGACCGCAGGCTTGCACCTGGGAATTCGACGCCGACCGGAGACGGGTGGTGACGCTGCTGGGGCCAGGCTTGGCGCAGAGGTGCGCTGGCGCCGGCGGCAGCAGCAGTAGCGCCGGCGGCCCCGCGCGGCCCAAGACGCTGCGAGAAGCCATCAGGAGCCAGCAGCGGCGGTGAGCTGGTTCACATCGGTTACCATCCTTGCCTGTGTAAAGTGCACAGCGGCAACAGGACCCCGGCCAGCAGCACCCAGACCAGATGAACCATCACAGCTTGCCCCTCACGTGCACAGTGCGAATCAGTGAGGTGGGTTACAGCAGTAGAACAAATGCTTCAAACGCATGCTAGGGGACGTCTTGACGACGGGTTGCGGCCGCGGAGCGCTGGCCACGTAGCGCCAGGGGGGCGCAGATCACAAAACAGATGCGCGCGCCAGCGGGGGCGAGCGCATTGGGTACAAAGCAGGTCGAAGAATTCAGGCGTTTGTTGACCGGGTGTCAAGAGGGAGGGAGGGGGGCACAAACCGCAAGAAATGGGCTGGGGCGTCAAAGGGGTGCGGTAAAAAGGGCTTTTGCCCCACACGGGCAGCTTATCTATCCACATGGGCGCATGATGGGTTGCGAGCAGGTATCTGCTCGGTGCCTGCCGCCGCAGCGGAGCAGCATGCACGGCGCTGGTCTTGGCGTGTGCGGGCCTGCTCATGCGCGCCCGCTGATGCCCTTGGTGTACTGCTTGAATCGCTTGGGCAGCAGGCGCTCCAGCACCGACGCCGGCACCGCCTGCTCCAGCGCCGCCTGCAGCACCATGGCCTCCCGCAGCAGGTCCTCCGCCTGCACGCACGCACACGCACACGCAGCCAGGGTGGCGGGGGTGGGGATGGGGCTGGACACCAGGTGAGGCAGCAGTGCTGCGCAGCGAAGGCTTCCAGAAGCAGAGGCGCCCGCGAGCGAGCAGCGCCGCGGCCCCCACCCCCGCCCACCCGCTTCTTGTTCTCCGTCATCTGCGGCGTCAGCGCCTGCACTGCCGCCTGCACCGACGCCTCGCTCTGCCACACCGTGTCGCGCAGCTCGGGGAAGCCGCCGTCCAGGGTGGCGGTCAGGCTGCCCTGGCGCAGCTCCAGCAGCTCCACCAGCTGCGCGCACTCGGCGCGCGCGTCGGCCAGCTCGCCGCTCCCCGCCTCCGCCAGCACGCGGCAGGAGCGGCCAAACAGGCCCAGGAAGACGAGCTCCGTCTGCTGCAGGCCGGGGTCACTGGCGATCGTCTCCAGCAGGAAGGCCTTGACCTTCTGCGTGGGGTGTAGGCAAGGCAGGCGGGCAGGCAAAGCACAGTTGAGGAATGATCTGCAGAGGAGGGGCTGCCGCCTGCATGCATCATCTGAATCTGGGCGGGCAGCGGCGGCGCCAGGCGCAGGGCCCCGGGGAGGCATCCCAGAGGCATCCAAACAGCAGCGGGGCAGCGGCGGCGGCAGGGGCGGTGCTCACGTGCGCGTCGTCGGGGCGCTGCCCCAGCACAAACTCCAGCAGCAGGCAGTCGTACTCGTGCACCGCGCTGCGCCCGTCCGCCCAGGCGGCCACCTGCGGCAGGGCGGCGGGCGGGGCGCGGGGTGAGGAGGGTGTGGGGCCGGGCCCGGCCCAAGAGGCCAGCACACGTGCAGGCAGAAGCGGAAGGGCAAGCCAGGGCAGGGCAGGGGAGGCCAGGCAGCAGGCAGGCAGGCAGGCAACAGGCGCGTGCCATGCCTGCAGCATCTTGACTGCCTTCATGAAGCGGCGGTCAGACACATACACGGGCGGCTCGCACTTGTCCTGCACGCGGGGGATGTGGAGGGGGGGGGACAGGTGATACGGTAGCGTGTGGGGCGGCTGTGCACTGGCCGGCTGCAAAGCGCCTCCGACCCCCACCCTTCCATACTCATATATGTGCGGCAGCGCCACCGCCACCCCCCCACCCTTTCATCCGCTCACCTGCAGGTAGTTGCGCACGCTGGTGAGCAGGTCGATCACCGCCTCTGGCACATCCACGTTGCCGTACGCCTGGCCGGCGGTGGACCTGCGGGCCAGGCAAGGGGCAGGCGGGGCGGGAGGCGGTGGGCCGAGGGGGGGCTTGATCCCAAGCACCGCCGCACCGGCCCTCAGCTCAAGCAGCCCCAGCCTGCTCAGCGGCCAGCCCAACCCCCGCACAGCCCAGCCTGCAGAGGCCAGCCGGGCTCCCGCGGCGCTGCCCCCACACACCTCCACCACTATAAAAGCCCTACCCCCAGCCCCAGCCCCAGCCCCAGGCCCACCTAAAGTCGTCCATGCCCAGCTCCGCCACCTGCCCCGCCACCACCTGGCCGTTCCCCGGGTCGTCTGTGGACATGCGGTCGCCCTCGTCCAGCGTGCCCGCCGCCAGGCGCGCCAGCGTGGCCAGCTGCGCGGATGACACCTGGGCCACGTTGCGGCGGATGAGGAAGCGGTCGTACAGGGCGTCCAGCTCCTCGCTCTCGGGCAGCTCGTTGGAGGCGCCCACCTGGTGGGGTGGGGAGGGGGCAGGCAGGCAGGGGCGTGTGTGCGGGGTCCGTGCGCGTGAGCGTGTGGGTGAGAGGCGAGCTGGGTGGGTGGGGCTGGGGGGTGGGCTCAGCAGCGGGGCGCTGCTGCCGCATGCCTGCGGGCGCCCCGCCCTGGCTCACCAGGCACAGCAGGGGCACTTCGATGCGCTCGCTGCCGTTGTCAAACAGGCGCTCGTTCAGCAGGGTCAGCAGGGCGTTGAGGATGGCGGAGTTGGCCTGCGGGGGGGGCAGGCGGGGGGGCGCAGGCGGGCTGCTGTGCGGGGCGGGTGCTGGCAGGGCTGCTGTGCAGGGCAGGGGCGGCAGCGCGCAGCAGCCGCAGGCACCCGACGCAGCCCCGGCCCGCCAGCATCCACACACACACGCGAGCGCACACACACACACACACACACACAGCGCCACCCACCTTGAAGATCTCGTCCACAAAGGCGACCTCGGCTGTGGGCAGGTAGCCCTCGATCTGGCGCACATACAGGTCGTTCTCCAGGCCTGGGCAGGGGGTGGGGAGGAGGGTGGGGCGGGGAGGGGAGCACAGGGCGGGAGGTGGGGGCCAGCGAGCCATGCCGGGGTGGCGGCGGCCAGGAGGCGGGGTGGCTGAGCACCGCGGGCAGCAGGCTCGCAGGCTCGGCACCCCAGGCGTGCGCCCCAGGGCGAGCGCCGGCACCCATCCCCCTCACCCTTCATGGACAGCGGGCCGAAGAGCTCCTCGGGCACCGAGAAGCGGGTGAGCAGGCGCTCAAAGTACTTGCCGCCGGTCAGCTTGCTGCGGGGGCGCAAGGAGGGGAGCAGAGTGGGGGATCGAAAGAGGTCCAGGCGGGCAGGAAGCCCAGTTGGGTTGGCGGGGCGGGGCGTCCTGGCGGCGAGGCAGGAGGGATGATGGGCCTAGGCAGCGAGGAGGGCCAGCGCTTGGGCACCTGAGGCGGCGGGACAGCTCAGACTTGGCGGTACCGGGGGGCCCCAGCAGCAGCAGGTGCTCGCCGCACAGCGCCGCCAGCAGCAGCAGGCGGACCTGCGGAGGACGTGGGCAGCGCGGCGAGGCGTGGGTGGGTGCAGGAGGCTGGCCTGTCTGAATCCCGGGCGCCATCTCTCCCGTGCTCGGCACCCGCCCGGCCCGCAACGCCCAGCGTCACCACAGCCTTGCAGCCCTCCCGCCGCCGCCCACCTCTGTCTCGCGCTCCAGCAGGCCGCTCTGCAGGTCCAGCACCGACGCCTGCACCTTCTGCTTCAGCTCGTTGGCGCCGCCAGACAGCAGACCTTCCAGCGCCGCCGCCGCATTGCGCTGCAGCGCCGCGCCCAGCGCCTCGTCCACGCCCCGGGTGATGTCTGAGATGAGCTGGATGGTGGCGCTGTCGGTGGTGTCTGCCGCCTGGTCGGCGCGCACTGCGGCCAGGGGCCAGCCCGCGCCGCCCGCGGGCTGCGGCGGCGCGGGGGCAAAGGCGGGGCGCGGGTCGGCGGCGCCGCGCCGCTGCCGCCGCCCGCTGCCAAAGTTGCGGTTGGCGCCGTGGCGCTGGACCTGGTGGCTCACCACCAGCTGCAGGGAGGGCAGGGGGGCAAGGAGCCCGGCAGCTGGGCTCAGTCCGGTGCGGAGAGAACGTGCGACACCCCGCGCTCGGCATCCCCGCCCCTGCCGCGCCCAACATGTTGCAATACTTCCGGGAAGGCTGTATCCGCGTGCTCACCGTCTGGAAGGACGCCCTGAGCTGTGCAGCCGACATCGAGGTAGCCATGCGCGGCAGAACAGGCCCGGACCGAGCCCAAACAGATGTGCAGGCTACTGGGGTAGCGAAACGACGTGGGAGGGGTGCTCTAGCCACGAAGGCCAACAGATAGGATGATAGCGCTCCAGCACAGCACAGCAGGCTCCAGCTAGGCACTGCAGAATTTGCGGCAAGAAGCAGAGCTACCCAGCCTTTTGTGGCATGCACTGCGGTGCGCCTTGGACGCTTGTCTGTCGACCTTCCGGCGATCACAATGACTTCGCTGGCAGACGTGCAGGGGCTCAGCAACCGGCCCGCGACCCCAGACTGCGTCAAGTGGAGCGAGGATGGTGTGGTGGCGGTGGCGGCCGCCCACTCCGTCGTCCTGCTCAACCCGGCCGACCTGTCGGGGCCCCGCGCCTTTGCCTCGGCGGGCAACCAGTGCGATCTGTCGGTGCTCCAGGCCCCAGGAATGCCCGCAGACCCCACCGCCGACGCCCACCACGAGCTGGCCCACCTGCGGCAGGGCGCCATGGTCAGCCAATACCCGCTGCTGCAGCTCAGCCTGCAGGCACGCAGCCTGGCCTGGTCGCCTGCCGGCTGCGCAGCGACGGCGGGGTGCCTGCTGGCCACCGTCACAAATGACCACCAGGTGTGTGCCGGGCTGCCAGGGTGCCGAGGGCTGGGGGGCGGTGGCCGCCGGCGGCGGCGGCGGGAAGCAGATCCCCCCCTGCCGCCCATGTCTCCCACCAGCCAGCCGCCCTTGCAGCCTGCGTAATATAAAACAGGTGGCTGCCATTACCTGGATCAAGGATGCAGGCCAATTTGGATGGCAGGCTTCGCATTCGCCAGCCCTGGCTCCCAGCTAAGCGGGTGTGCGCCTCGCCACCACGGGCTTTGCCGCCGTGCCGCAGGTGCTGGTGTATGGGCCACCCTCGGGGCCCATGACCGAGTGGCAGCAGGTGGCAGACCTGTCTGAGCAGCTGCTGCTGCACCTGGGGCAGACAGGCTGGCAGGATCTGGACCCACAGCAACTGCAGGGCGGCGGCGGCGGCGACGGCGGCGACAGCACCCTACGCCTGCGTGGCGGCGGGCGCAGCAAGCGGCCCGCGCAGCGCAAGGGCGTGGAGGCTGAGGCGGAGGACGGGGCAGGGGTCTCTGTGCACCGGCCTGAGGCTGCCTTCAATGTGGCGGTGGGGCAGGCTGTCGAGGTGAGCGGGGCATGCAGACTGGCGGACCTTCACATCGCCTCTGTTGGCGAGAGTTCCATGCCGGGGCCCCAGGGGCAGTCCAGCCTGCTGCCACCGCTGCCCCACCCCACACCCTGCTCCCCCTGCCACCCTCCCCTGGCGATGGGCCAGGTGATGACGGCGGAGGAGGGGCTGGAGGGCTGCTGGTTCACCGGCGCCATACAGGCCCTGTCTGGCGGCTGGGCGCTGGTGGCGTATGACGAGCTGCAGGAGTCGGAGGAGGAGGGGGCGGGCAAGCTGCGCGAGTGGTTCCCTGTGCCCGGCCAGCACCAGGCGGCGGCGCCTGCCGAGGCCGATGGCGGCGCTCAACACACCGTGCACGCCACGGCGTCCGGCCACGAGCTGCGGCCCGCCCCGCCGGCAAAGGCAAGCATGCTGCGGCCTGCCCTGGCTGCGCTGCGGTCAGGCTGGGTTGGCTGGGGTAGGCTAGCCGGCATCTTGCATCATCTCGCCTGCTTCCTCGCAACCCGCGGCCTGCCCCGCCTGCCCACCTGCCGGCCTGCAGAAGAGCGGCGTGGGTGCGTCGCGGCGGCCGGGCGATGTGTGCGATTCGTTCATTGACAGCGGGTGGTGGGAGGGGTGCCGCGTGGTTGAGCTGCAGGTGCGCCTCCTCTCCTGCTGGAGCTGCGTGGGCACACTGCTGGGGAGGGTCGAGGATGTGTTGCTGGTTCCCCGTGCCGCTCCCTTTGGCCGCTGCCGCGCCTGAGCGTGCCTCCCGGCTGGCCTGTTCTGGGCTGCGCGTGCAGGAGGGCGGCGCCAAGGTGGAGGTGGAGGTTGCCGGGGAGCGTCACGTGGTGGAGCGGGCGCACACTCGCCGCTGCCTGCTGTTCCAAAACGGGCAGTGGCAGGTGCTGGTGGCGGCAGCTTCGGCTGCGCCCGGCGAGGCTGGCGGCACAAAGCGGCAGGCTGACGGCGGCGAGAAGCAGGCTGCGCCTGCCTGCGCCTCTTGGCAAGAAGAAGCAGAAGAGCCGGCGCAAGCAGCTGCTGCTGCTGCACCAGAGGCCGCCGAGCCAGCAGACGAGCCGCCGACGAAGAGGCGGCGCGCTCGTAAGCCGGGTGGCGGCGGGAAGGCTGCTGCTGCTGGCGGCCCCGAGCCCGCTCCTTCTCGTGAGCAGCAGCAGCAGCAAGAGGGTTTTGCAGCAGGACACGGCGGTGAGGCAGCCACCCAGCAGCAGGAGAGCCAGGCGCAGCAGCGCCGGGCGCCAGCCGGCGGCAGCAAGCTCCAGCAGCTGGCCGCAGCGGCCGCGGCAGGCACTCCTGTGGCCGCAGGCACACCCGCTGCCTCGGGCTCCCAGCCTCCAGCCACCTCAGCCAGGGCCAAGGGCAAAGCAGCCGGGCGTGGCGGCGGCGGCGGCAGCTCGGCCAAAAAGGCGCCGCCACCGGTGTACCATGTGCCTCCAGACTTTGATGCCGCGGTGCTGCCTGCTGTGGACCTGTCCAGCCTGAAGGGGGCGCGCGTGTCGGTGCCGCTGGCCTTCTGCCGCCGCTTCCTGGTGCTGCGGCGGGAGGTGCCCGAGGAGGGTGAGCCAGCTGCTTGGCTTGCGCTCCCTGCCTTGCTGGCACGGCATGCCGCTGCTGCCGCCCGTGCGACGGTTTTATGTTGTGCTGTTTGTGGTTGCTGAGAACTGGTGTGGCGCCGCCCCCTGCAGAGCTGCCGCGCTACGAGGCCACCAGCAGCCACCTGAAGGGCATCGACGCGCAGCTGGTGGCGCAGGCGGTGGCGGAGATCCTCCACGTGTGAGTGGGCGGCGGCTGGGGAGCAGCCATGCCGGCCACGACGCCGGGCTGCCTGCAGTCTGCTCCGCCTTGTTGCCCCTCGCGCTTGTGTTTGGACGTGCTTGCTTTCTATTGATTGTCTGCCTTTTCTGCCCTCTGTTTCAGTGCTGTGCTGCACGTGAGCTCTGCTTCCCTGCTTCTGCCCCGTTGTGCGTGCAGGCATGGCGCGGCGCTGGCGGCGCTGAGCCCCACCCTGAACGCCAAGTGGCTCAACACAGAGGGCAGGCAGCGGCTGCGCCTGTGCTGGGACCGCACGCGGTGCGCTGCGGCGGCGGCGCTGGCGACACCTGTGCCCTGCGCTGCATGCATGCTTCCTGGCTCCCTGCGGGCCTCCATGCTTGCCCCGCATTTGTCCTGGTGTTGTCCCGTTTGCCTCCCCCCCTGGCCCCACCTGCCCCCGTCCTGCCCTGCCCTGCAGCAACAAGGTCCTGGGGCGGTTCGGGGTGGCCGAGGGCGACCCATCAGAGGCCAGCTCAGAGGTGCCGCTGCTGCTGCTGAGGCAGCCATGCTGCTTGCTGCTGCCATGCTGCTTTCTGCTGCCCTTATCAACATTGCCACGCGGTTTCACTGCTTGATGTACTGCTCTAGCCCTGCTTTCTTTCACCCGTTCCTCCACCCCTCGCCCTGCTGTTGCCTCTGCCTCCCGCAGGAGGAGGCTGAGGAGGGGCGGCGCAGCGGCGGCGGCATGGCGGACGAGGATGAGGAGGCAACTGAGAGCGAGGGGGAGGGCGGCAGCGGGCGGCAACGCAGCGGGCGGCCCCGCCGCGCCTCTGTGGCCAGCCTGGTGCCGCAGCTCGACTTCCCGCCGCACCAGCTGCCAGAGGGCTTCAGGCAAGCCTGGCTGGTCTTGGGATCGAAGTGATCCCCCTGCACCTTCTTTCTGCCTTCCTCCTCCTGCCGCCAGCCCGCCAACACCCATCCCCGCTCAACCAACCTGGCCCGCTTCCCCCTGCACACGCGCAGCTGGCGTGACCTGCCTGGCGTGGACCCCAGCAATGCTGGCGTGGCCAAGGCCAGCCTCATCCTGGCAGCTGTGCGCCGCTTCCTGATCCTGCGCAGCGAGGTGTGTGTGTGTGTGTGTGTGTGTGTGTGTGTGCGCGGTGTGTGTGTGTGTGTGAAGCCTCCTGCTTCCCTATGACCCGCCCCGCCGTCGAGCGCGCTGCTTGCCAGCCCCGCCGGCCCCTCCTTCTGCCACCCCACCCCGCCCTGTCCCGCCCTCCTTGTCTGCAGTTCCAGGATGAGCAGCTGCCTGTGTATGAGACGACCAGCAGCCACCTGAGGGGGCGGGATGCCTGGCTGGTGGAGCGCGTCACGCGGGAGTTCACCACGGCATACGCCCAGGCACGTGCAGCTGGTCCGCTGGCCCGTGCGCTTGCTGGGCGCGTGGGCGCACCTGCTGGAACCTTGCCAAGGGCGCCCGCGCTTGAAGCAGGGGCTGATCTGAGCCTCCCGCCTGGTGTGCCACCTGCCTCCTGGGCGTGCCCGCCTGCTGCCGCCGCTCTCCTGCTGACGTGGCCGTCTCCTGCTGCTGACCTGCCCGCCTCCTGCTGCTGCTGCCACCCCGCCCGCCTTTGGCTGCAGCTGGTGTCTGATTTGAAGTGGGAGGCCAAGTCTTTCCAGACCGACTGGCTGGCCAGGTGAGCAGGCAAACCCTGCGGGCAGGGGCTCAGGCCGCTCAGCAGGGCGCCGAGTTGAGCCGTGCCGGCACCTCCTGTAACGCTCGGCCCGGCCGGCGCTCTGCACACACCACCTTGCCCCCACCCCCACCACTGCGGCCCCTGCGCTGCCCGCCTGCAGGCTGCGGGGCAAGTGGGACAAGATGACGGGGCAGGTGGCGGAGGGGTTCGGCCTGGAGCCAGAGGTGGTGGACCCGTCTGCTCTGCTGCTGGTGGGCGGCGACGCGCAGGAGGAAGGTGGGCCGACGCCGGCACTGCGCGCGACGCATGCCCAGCCCAGCCGCGCCCGCAGCCACGCCGCACGCGCGCCTCCTGCTGCGCTGCCTAATGCCTCTCTCTGTCAAAGGCACACACGCCGCCACCACCGCACACAAACACGAATGTGCACCCAGTCCGCTGCGCTCTTCCACGCCCTGCCTGCCTGCCTGCCGGCAGAGGAGATGGCGCGGCGCGGCCCCCGCATGCAGAACCGCCCAAGAAGGTGGGCCAAGAAGGTGGGCAGCGTCGCCGGCCGCCGCTCGCTACCCGCGGGCGGAGGCGCCAGGGGCCAGGCGGAGCGTCGTGGCGGTTCCGACGGTACCGCAGGCAGCTCTGAGGATGAGTCGGACGGGGGCGCGTCCGTCGCTGCCGCTCAGCGCAAGAGGGGGAAGAAGGATCTGGCGGCGGCGACGGCTGCGCAGCGCCTGCGCAGCGCGGCCGACGGTGCGCTGGCCAGCCCAGCCTACCAGCTCCGCCTGCTGGGGGCCAGCAGCCTGTCCTGCGCCTGGTCGCCTGCTGTGCCCGGCGCTGGCGGCGGCACGCCCCATCGGCGGCAAGAGCAGCAGCAGGAGCAGGGCGGCCCGCAGCGGTCCGAGGCGGCGCCAGCCGGCGGCATGCAGCGCTGCTGCTTCCTGGCTGTGGGCGCCAAGGCGGGGCGGGTGTGGCTGTGGAGGTACCGCCTGCCGCAGCAGTACAGCCTGCCTCTGCCGGCGGGCCAGCCTGGAGGCATGTTTGAGCTGGTGGCGTGCCTGGCTGGCAGCCCGGGCGCCTGGGTCAGCAGCCTGGCCTGGCAGCTGCTGCCTGGCGGCGGCGGCGACGGCGGCGGCAGCGGCAGCCTGGTGCTGGCAGTGGGATGCTCCGATGGCTCGGTGGTGCTGTATGGCGCTGAGGCGCGGCAGCTGGCAGCCCTGCCCGGCAGGCAGCCAGAGCAGCAGGAGGATGAGGCGGGGCAGCAGGCTGGGCGGGAACCAGTGCCGCCGCTGCCTGCCGGCATGCAGCGGTGGTGCGTGGCGTGCCACCCAGACTTGCGTGGAGTCGCCGCCCTGGCCGTTCAGCTGCACAGCACCAGCCGCGGAGGCAGCCGCCTGCTGGTGGCAGCTGGCAAGACGGTCGGCACCCTGGCCGTCTGGCGCAGCGGTGAGCTGAGCGGCGGCAGCAGCAGCGGCGGCGGCGGCAGTGAGCAGCATGCCAAGGCGCTCTGCAGCGGCGCTGCCAGCCTGGTCGCCATCGGGCTGCAGGGCACGCGCAGCGCCACAGGCCTGGCCTGGCTGCCCCAGCAGCAGCAGGGGCACCCGCTGCTGCTGGCTTGCACGCAGGACGGCGCCGTCGTCAGTTATAGGCTGGAGGCGGCGCCTGGCGGGGGTGGCCTGGCCCTGGTAGCTGTGGACGGCACGCCGCAGCCGGCCAGCGGGCGGCGGAAGAAGAAGGAGCAGGGCCACTGCGCGCTGGGGCTGGCGCTGTCGCCGGCAGGCCTGTTTGTGGCGGTGGCGCGCCTGTCACTGTCGCCCGCGGCGGAGATCATGCGGTGAGTGCGGCGCCTGCGGCTGCCCAGGCGCCTCGTGAGCTCCACCTGCTGCTCCGGGGACGGCATCCCTGTGCCGACAGGCCACTGACAGGCACCGGGCGGGCATGTGCCTCCCACCAGGCATCCTGTCAAGCTCCCTCCCTCATGCCCTCCCTCCCTCCCTCCCTCCCTCCCTCCCTGTGCCGTGCGCTGCTGCCTGCAGCTCCCTCCAGGTCCACGACAGGGTCATCCAAGGCCTCCTGCAGCTGGACAGGATGGCGGGGCCGGCGGCGCCGCTGGACCCGCGCTCCGCGCTGGAGGCCGCATTGCAACGGCTGGCGCGGGCGCCCGTCCCCGGCGGCGGCCTGCAGCCAGCGTTGGCAGCCAGCGCTGCCTGGGAGGTCGCCACGATGCTGCGCCTGCAGGCCAAGTGGCGGCCCGCGGCGGCAGAAGACGACCAGCCCGAGGCGGAGGGCGTGGCGTTGGTGCCGCCCGAGGCGGCAGCGGTGCTGCAGCAGCTGGAGCAGCCGGTGCTGGAGCTGCAGCACGCGGCGGCGGCGGCGCCCGGCGAGGAGCTGCTGCCGCGGGTGACCCCCGAGGCGTGGCGCAGCCTGCAGCTGGCCACTGCGCTGCGCCACCTGCTGCACCCCGCCAGGGTGGTTCGGGAGCAGCGCCTGCGAGTCAAGAAGGAGCTGCGTGTGGTGGGAGGCTCCACTCTAGGGCGGCCGGTGCAGCCGGCACGGCAGCAGCCTCAGCAGACGGTCGTGAAGGCCGAGGAGGAGGTGGGCGAGGAGGCGGCAGCCCCGGTGCAGCAGCCCGTGGCGCCTGCGCTCACGGCTGAGCAGCTGGCTCAGCACGGCGCCTTTGCCGTGCTCCTGCTGGCCCCGCCGCCTCCCGCTCTCGACGCGGTGCCTCCCAGGCAGCCGCCGCCACCACAGCAGCGGCAGCGCCAGCAGCCACAGCAGCGCCAGCAGCCGCCGCGGCAGCAGCAGCAAGCGCCGGCGGCCGCGGCGGAGGACGTGGAGGGGCAGCATGCCGCACTGCTGGAGCAGTGGCATCAGGCCACAGAGCGGAATGAGATGCTGCTGCTGCAGCGCCACATGCACACAGCCCTGGCAGCGGTGCTGGCCAGTGGCGGCGAGGGCGAGGACAGGATGGATGAGGACGCGGTGCCGCCTGCTGCTGCCCCCGCGGCGGCGGCGGCCGGGAGCGGCGGCGGCGGCGCCTGCCAGCTCAGCCAGCTGCTGATGGCGGACTGGATCACCCTCAACGTGCAGCACCCGCTGCTGGTGCCAGAGCTGATCCCGCTGGCCGCCAGGCACGTGCGGCGCGGCCTTGAGCATGCAGCTGTTGTCCTTGTTGGCTTTGCCTGGTGTTGAGGTAACAGTTTGCTCCCCTGCTTCCTAGCACCGACCTGCCCACAACCCGCCCACATGCAGCGTGTACATGCAAGCCGGCGAGGAGATCCCCGAAACCAGCATGCCGCCGCGCGAGACCAGCAGCCTGTTTGATGCCCCGGTGGCGGTGGCTGGCGCCGGCGTGGTGGCGGCCACCTCGGCCAGCTGCGGCGTGGACTGCGGCGGCGCCCTGCTGGCGCGCTGCGCCGCCTCGCTCATGCTCTGTGAGCGGCGGCCGCACTGGGGCTGTCGCGCCTGCAGCCGCGTGTACAGGGAGCCGCCAGCGGCGGTCGCTGGGGCCCCCTCTGTGCCGCCACCGCCGCCCGCCTGCATCTTCTGCGGCCTGCCGCTGGGCCCCGTCGGGCCCGCGCTGCTCTTCAGCCCTCCCTGCTGCTCTTGAAAATGGTTTGTGACGGTAGCAGATTACCTCACATGTAACTTGTAGCATTTGGCCACCGCCAGTGAGCGCAGTTGCCCGCAAACTGCTGGGCGCCACTGGCGGCGAGGGCGGCCTGCCACACACACACACGCTGCCCCTCAATGCGCGATAATGCGACCTTCCATACGCCCTTTGGATCGCAATGCGTTTGGCTCGGGGCAATCTGTAAGCTGAGTTGGTGGCCAGGCACCTGCGCCACCTGCCATGGGCTATAAGGCTCCAAGACACTCTGCACCAGCAGGAGATCACTGGGGATGGAGCGGTGGCCGCTGCAAGCCAGCACAGGCGAGGCCGCATCCTGGGTCAGCCCAGGTGGAAGGGCCGGTCGGTCTCCAGCGACTTCCGTTCTCCCACGCCTGCATGGCCCTCTTGTTTGCGCCGTGGGCCGCTGGTGGGCATCAGTGGCACCTCTTCTCTCTTCCACAAACACACAATATGCAGTGCGTCGCGCAGAGCAGCACCGCCATGCAGCAGCCGCTGCGGGCCAGTGCTAGCGCTGTGCAGCAGCCCCGACTGGCAGCTACCCGCTGCCTGAGCATCACCAGGAGCGCGGAGGCGGGCACCAGTGGCAGGCGGCTGGGTCACGGGGTGGCTCTGCCCCGCGCCCGGGCCCTGCCTCTGCGCGCCGCCCGCCCCCAGCAGCAACAACTTGCGGTTTGTAGCCTCACCAGCCACCCTGGAGAGGTGAGTGGAGCGCCGCGGCGCGCCGCCGGGTCCAGTGGGAGGGATAAGAGGGTCGGGGCGCCGGCAACCACCTGCAGGGCGCCCCGCCCGCCCTCGCTGGCCGCTGGGCAGCGTCTGGAGGCCCCACTTTCGGCGCCGGGGGCCCGCGATCCCCGTGCATTCGGGCGCTGCCGCTCGGCGCCTCCCGCGTCGGTGGGCGCTGCCGCCCCATATCTGGCGCGCCCGCCCCTCAACGCCCGAGCCCCACCCCCTCCCTCCACCCTGCAGGAGCGCAGCGGCACCGGCGACCTGCTCCCCTCGTTTACCGTCCCCTCCACCGGCATGGCCAAGAACCTGGGCAGCAGCGGCGGCTCCGCCACCATGCAGCGCTCCAAGCTGAGCAACAAGCAGGCCGTGCAGCAGGTGGGGCCCAAGCTGGACGACGGCATGGGCGGCGGCGGCCTGGGCAAGGGCATCTTCAACGGCGGCGGCGGCGATGGTGACGGCGGCGACGACGACGACTACTTCAATGAGTTTGGTGGGTGCTGCCTGCCTTGCTGTCTGCCTGCCTGCCTGCTGCTGCGCTCCCTGCCTCGCTGCGTGCAGCCTGCCTTGCCGGTGCTGCCCTGCTGGCCTTCGCTGGCAGGTCCAACCCGCCCGCCCGCCCTCACCCTGCCTCCGCCCGCCTCGCGCCCGCCCGCAGGCGACGGGGACGGCGACGGCGACGGCGACGGCTTCTTCCGCAAGGTGTTCCAGGAGCTGTACGACGCCAAGGCCATCAACGCGGTGCTGCAGGAGTGGTTCAAGACCATGGCCGACATGCCGCTCATCCTGCGCCAGGCGGCGCAGATGGGCCTCTTCTCCTCCGCTGCCCTCGTGCGCTTCCTGGCCATGGATGTGCGCCCCAACGTCACGCGCTTCGTCACGCGCTCGCTGCCGCCCGCGGTGAGTGGCTTTTCCCCGCGCCCAGCCCCGGCTGGAACAGCCGCTGCCGCACCCAGCCCCGACCACACCCTGCTGGCAGCCCGTGGGCCCCCGCCCGCACCCTCTCACCCCTCGCCACCCGGCCCTGACCCCGCCTCCCTGCCTGCCCTGCCCCGCAGGTGTCTCGCGAGGTGGTGGGCCGCCTGATGGCGGACCCCGCCTTCATGCAGAAGCTGGTGCTGGAGCAGATGATCACCGTCTCCTCCTCGCTCATCTACGAGGCCAAGGTCCGCGGCGACCGCTTCTGGCACGAGCTGGACCTGGTGGCCGCCAACGTGGTGTGCCTGTCGGCAGGTGGGTCGCGGGGCGGGGCGGCGGCAGGGGGTGTGGAGCGGGGCGCCGGCCTGGTGGGGCGGCCCCCAACCCTGCAGCAACAACACGGCGCGCCTGCTTTTGCCGGCAGCCTGCTGGCTGTGCCAGCCCTGCGCGTGGCCCCTCGCCGACTGGTCTCGACCCGCCCCCCCCCCGCCCTCCCCTCCCCTGCCCTGCAGCCAACGCGGCGCTGGTGTACCTGGTGGCGCCCACGCGCGCGGCCCCCGCCCCCGCGCGCTTTGCCTGGCAGAACATGCTGTCCAAGCTGCCCAACAACGTGTTTGAGGCCACCACGCCGCTGCGCGAGTACACCACCGGCAGCCGCGCCGCCGCCTTCTTCACCAAGAGCGCGGAGCTGTGCGGCGTGGGCATGCTGGCGGGCGCGGCGCAGTCGTCGCTGGCGCAGGCCGCGGTGGCGGTGCGCCGCGCCTCCGACCCGGCCTACACCCCCTCCATGCCCGTGCCCAGCGTGCAGCAGAGCGCGCTGGGCTTTGCGGCGGCGCAGGGCATCTTTGGCAACCTGCGGTACCAGATGGTGGCGGGCATCGACCGCTACCTGTTTGACCACGCCTCCTTCCTCTGGTCCTACCTGGGCGCCTCGGGCGCCTTCCGCACCCTGTCCACCACCATGGGCGACCAGACGCGGCGCTACCTGCAGGGCCTGCCCAACGGCGACGCGGTGCTGGCGGCGCGGGAGCGGCACGCAGCGGCCTACCGGGCGTGGGCCGCGCAGCAGGCGGCGGCCGCGCGGCGCGCCGGCGGCGTGGTGGTCCGCGAGGCGCCCGTCCCGGCCGCCGCCGCGCCGGCCAGCGGCGCCGGCGGCAGCAGCAGCAGCGGCGTGGGCAAGAAGAAGCGGCGCAGCAGGAAGGCGGGGAGCAGCGGGTTTGAGATGGGCGTGGGGCCCGCAGCGGCGCCGGCCATGGCGTGAGCGCCGCCCTCCCACCCACCCACCTGTCTCTGTAGTTTGCTTGGCCTGCCGTCGTGGGCACCCTCTGTATGAACACTCGCCTTTCATTGCTCGGACTGAACGCGCCACCGCCTGGGCCCCATGATACCCTGCCCCTCCCTCCCGCAGACTTGTGTGTGTGTGTGTGTGTTGGCCCGGCGCCGCGCCGCCCCTGCGCGGCGCCGGCTGTGTCCCCCCGTGCGCGTGCCCCGCATCTCTTTTCCTCACCCTAAAACTTAAACCCTGCCCTCCCTTCTCACGCCCTGTTCTCGCTATCGCCCTCCTCGCTCTGCCAAACTCCAAACGAATGGCGCTCCTGCCCCCATTCCCCAACTGCCTCAGCCCCGTAAGCTTCTCTCTCACCCCTTCTTTCGTTGGCGGCCTGGGCCAGCCCAGCCACCGCGGCCCTCATGCGCAAACCACGCCCTTCTCAAGCCGCCCGCCAGGCATGCGCGCCTGGCGGCGGCTGGACCCCCCCCATTTTTCGATTGTTGCTGGCAGCACCCTGTGCCGGCCCATCAATTTTGTCCCGCAACCGCCATTCAGCGGCCTTGCAACCCTCTTTCGTCGTCTCACCCAGTCGTCCCCGCGCGCTGTGTAATACACAAGTGCATGTGGAGCCAAAAGGAGGGGCAGGTGCAGCGCCTGCCAAGTCAGCTACCACCACCTTTCAAAACGTATCTGCTCTGTGGTCAGCCCCAGGGCCAGCAGGTCGGCAACCATAGCGTCCTTCATGGCCGCATGGCCGCACACCAGTGCCGTCGCAAGCTGGCATGCAGGGCTGCTCCTGCTGGCGCTGCCATCAGGCCCGCTGCCGCTGCCTGGCGGCCGGGGGCGTGCCAGCCACCGCAGCGCAGCCTGCAGCTCTGGGCGGCCGATGCGGCCCCAGTGTCCGCCCCATTCCTTGCAGCGCCCCCTCCACTCCGGGGCCGTCACGTGCAGCTGCAGGCGGATGCTGCCGTGCGCCTGCTGCCGCATCTCCTGGAGCTCCCGCCGGAATGCCAGCTCAGCTGGGACGCTGGCAGAGTAGAGCACTGCCGCATGGGGCAGGCGGCGGTGGCGGCAGCGGGGGGACGGGGGTGCCGGCGGGGGGGGGGG